CCTAAAAAATAAATTAATGCAGCCACCACATCTAAGGATTTGTGAGTTGCAATAAAATAAATATTTGCTTTTGGGCTTAATACTCCTTAAGCCTGGGTTCACATATATGCGGTGCTGTATATTGCAAGTGATTCGCATTCCTGTGCAAATCACATGCAATTTGTGTGCGGTGCGATTGGAGCCATACATTTTGTATGGCTCTAATCGCACCACACCCGCACCAAAAAACATGCAGGACCCTTTTTTGGGTCCACACTAGAATCAGATCACATGGATATTCACACCTATGCGATCCGATTCTGCACATCGCACCGCGTTTTGCGGACTGCTTTCAGGGTGTTGTTAACTCAACATACACACCCGCAACGGTTCGCATGAACAGGGTGCAATTCTGATCCGATGCAAAATTCACACAGAAAACGCTGCATTACGCACCGCATCAGTGTGAACCAGGGCTTAGGGTCAGTTCACATCATAGAAACAAAGTCCAGATGTGTTCCAGATGAGTTTCTGCATGTGCATTTTTGACACGTTTTTGACATGTTCTGGTGTATTTTGCCCTCTATTTTCCTTTACCTTAAATAAGAACGTGTGCGTTTTGTCATGACTGTGTGCATTCTGGTCCATTTTACTGCGTTCCAGTACAGTTCAATGCAGAACAAAATGCAGCATGTTCTACTTTTTTTCTGGAACTGACCACACTGGTGTGAACTATGACATTGGAAAGCATAGAACCTACTATCCATGTTTTTGAGACAGAAATAAACACACTGGACTGCATGTGATGAACTGGCCCTTAAGGAAATCTGCATTGGGGGAAATCTGACAGCTGTCACGTTTGATCACTTCTGAAAAAGCTACTTGTCTGGCTATTTCTGGCTGCAATGACTTATGATTCACTGACCCTGAACACTGAAATCAGAACTCTTGTAACACAGAAAATGTTGAAGCCACTAGATCAGTATGATGGTCAGGCAACTATTATTTTCAGAAGGTAGGGTCAGTCATAGCAGTGTACGAATGTTGGTGCTGATTCCTTGTAATAAGCTTTAACCTCTTGACCTCCGGATGGTTTTACCCCCACCATGACCAGGGCGGTTTTGTGCTATTCAGCACTGTGCTACTTTAACTGGCAATTGCTCAGTCATGCAACACTGTACCCAAATGAGAATATATCCCATTTATTTACAGAAAGCTTTCTTTTGGTGGTATTTGATCACCACTTACATACAAATTGCAATACCACAAATACAAATTGTAATATCATGTCCGTGGTATTGCAATTTGTATCTATGTGGTGTGATCATATGGGGACTTAGCGGCAGCATTTTCCTATTAATTTATTTATTCTTTTACTTAGAGTACATTATTGTTTGCTGAGTTTATTGTAAGTGATTGCACAAAGGTTTTTATTTGTTTTAATTCGATCATCACTGCTTTTTTTAAAATGTATTATATAAATGAAAAAAAACATTTTTTGAAAAAAAAGCAGTATTTTCTACTTTCTGTTAGAAAACATATCCAATAAAATGAAATGTACTGATTGCCGTTTACCATGCATGCAAATTTAACCCCTTACCGCATGCGCTCGCAAAACAACAATAAACCTACCCTAGACGAATCATTAAAAGCCCCTACAAGTGATTCGTTGAGTTAACCATGAATAATAACCCTAGAATTATTGCTCTTACTCTGGCCTTACAGCGGTGGCAGTAAAAGGGTTAAAGTGTTACTAAATCCAGGACCCTGCATTCACTATATCTGGTCTCCCACAGTACACACAACATGAAAATGCAATTATTTTAGTAAATATAAACTGCTAAATACTTTTTCTCATCAGCAGTTAGAGCAGTCTGGTGACTTCTATCAGTGTCCAGCAAAGCACTGGTTACAGCTTGCAGAAAGAGTTTTCCTTCTCCTGTAGGAGGATGCAGGACCCCTGACCTCTGTCTGGAGAGTGCTGATTGGCCCTGTGCTGATCACATGCACTCTTCCAAGAAAAAAAAAAAAACTCTCTAGCAATACACCAACCTGAGCATGTGCAGCTTGCCCCAGAGCCTCTGTTCTATCAGTGTCCAGCAGAGTACATGTTAAAGTTTGTAGGAGTTTTCATTTTGCTCTAGGAAGATGCAGAACCCCTGCCCTCTGTCTGGACAGTGCTGACTGGCCCTGTGCTGATCACATGAACTCTCTCAAGGAAAAAAAAAACTCCTCTAGCAATTCACAGCAAACTGAGCATGGGCAGAGTGTCTCCACACGATATGTCTTATCAGGAGATAAGAGGGGGGCACTAGAAGAAGGGGAGGATCAGAGAAGTCAGGGTCAGCATTTTTACACAATGCAGAGAATTAACCCCTTGGGTTCCACTGTGAGTATAACAAGCATTCTTTACTGCATTTACAGACTGATTTTACTGTTGTGGGTTTAGTAACACCTTTTTTTTTGTCTGCACCAAAGGTCTTTACAAGCCGTTATTACCTTGTAAAAGCATCAGTGATATAATAAAGAGTACTATACATATCCTGTGGGAGGGGCCCAGTGGCTCTACCTACTTCAGGTGCTGCCTGCAGAAAACTACAGAATGGGGCGGAGACAAGACCAGTCACCCTTCACAAGTAGAGAGAGCAGCAGTGAGCGGTCTTTATTACAGGAAGCTCACAGAACAAAATGTCCCTGTGGATGACTACAGGGATCTGGAAGAAATACACTGAGCACACCAACATTACATTGTACACGACATACATTCTACTTGGTCAATATTTTCTTCTTTGGGAGTTCAGCTTTAACCTACACAGTGTAGGGAGCTCCATACAAAGTACAAGAATGGAGGAGCCAGAGGCAGGATCCCGGCATCCCCCTTCCCTGTATATAAGGCAGATCTGATCTCACACACTGGGATTGCTCTGCTTGGACTGTGACCCCCCCAATGTAAACTCTTCTCCCCCGCATCCAGTGACATAAAGCCTGCCATTCATCCCATTGTTCTCCTCCCCGACCGACACCGCCGCTGCCTCCTCTTGCTGTCCTTTGCCCTAATTACTACCGACTAAGCCCCGCCCTCAGCACCCCTACGCCCAATCCTGGGAAGCACAGCTGTGACTGGCAAAGGACACGAAACCGAGTCACGCCCACCGGCACTGGTTGTAGCTCTCAGCTCCACGTTGCGTGGTGACATCCTATTGGCTTCCCGTCTCCTTCATCTGCTGGCAATAGGTCGGAGGAGGATCAGCTGGGTGGAGGGCGGAGCGAGGGGCGGGCCCTACGAAGTGGTTTGTCTTGGAGCTCATTCACTGGCTGTAGAAGCAGCACAGCGGTGATCCGGACAGACTGAGCCAGTGTGCAGCCTTCCATTGCCAGGTAACAAAAAGCCGAGCTGTCCCCTCCAGTCTTGTCATTGTAGATCGCCGGATCTTCCCATCATCTTCCTATCACAGCCATTCTCTGTCTTGTGTACGCGATCTAGTATGTTATGAATTCTGATACATTCATGTCAGGACCGGTCATCTGTTCTGCATGTATGTCATTATGGTGTTGTGTCATGCTATGCACATGCAGGGCAGAATTCTGTGTGTATGAATAGTGAGAGCTCTACTGTGCAGTGCACTCCTCCATATCCATCCTGTGCTGGGCTCCTCCACTCTACCCTGCCTGCCAGGCTGTGTGCTGGGAGTGGCCCAGCTCTGCAAGGACTGATCCTCACAACAAAAAACTTGCCAAGTCATTCCTTATCTGCATTCTGTCATCTCTGGAGGAGCTCTGCTTGTATCACTAGAAAATGTTGTGTGATTTTTTTTATTTCCCCCCAATCAATTACTCATATCTCTAGAATGATCAATGCTACAAAAAAGACTCAGATCATATCTGACAGTTCTGATTGCAGTAGATGGTATTGGAAAAGCATGGATTGTCTTTTTTAAATTCAAATAAATATTTGCGCTCTGATGGAATAATACATAAAAAGCGGCTGACACAGGAATATTATTATTATTATAATACGGGATTTATATAGTGCCAACAGTTTGCTCAGCGCTTTACAATATACCGGGAGACCGTACAGCAACAATACAGTTCAATACAAGAGGGATAGGAGGGCCTGATCCTTGGAGCTTACAATCTAGGAGTAGATCCAATCCCTTAAACAAGATATAACAGAAAAAGTGCAGCGATGAATAGTGTTATTGTATATAGAGTCCGTGCTTCGTAAGTAAACCATCAAAAGGGACGGAGAAACCCACATATAGTGAATTAAAGAAGGAGGAAGATGACACCTTAAAGTTCCTGGAAAAAACAATATATATATATATATATGAGCTATTTCCAGAGCTATTGGGCTTTTGTATTAAAAAGCCAACAGCGCTTTAGGGGTTAACCCCGAACAATTCCCCAGTGTGTAGCACTGAGATGGTTCTGCCCGTGGCTCCGCTCCAACTCTGTGTTTCTGCCGGTAAATCATGCAAGGAATAAACACTGATCATGTAGTATGTCCAAAACTAACATTTATTTGGAATAAATGACTACACTTACAGTGGTTAAAGGATATAGAGCTATCAAAAAATTATCCCTGAGCTGTAGCACTTCCAATGTGTAAACATTCTGGCCAACAGCCGTGTAGCATGCTGACGTCACGTGAAGCTCCACCAAACGTGTTTCGTCATTTGCCATAGTTAGGGGCATGGCTAAACGTCAGTCTCCATGCTCCTATATACAGTGTAACGAAGGAAACTGTCCCCCACGGGGTCTTCCTTTTTACAAAACGTGAAAGATTATTTTCCTTGTTGCAAATGTTGGATTTGTGCTTTAAGTTACTTCTAGGGAAGGAGGATCGAAGGTTTCCGGTCACAACAAACTTCACAGGAATACAAAAGCCCAATAGCTCTGGTAAGAGCTCTTGCATGTCTGTCAACTTCACCAGGAACTTAGAGGTGTCATCTTCCTCCTTTTTTAATTCACTGAATGTGGGTTTCTCCGTCCCTTTTGATGGTTTGGTTTCACTCACTTAGGCTAGGTTCACACCTATGCAGGTTGCAGGTTGCATTTGAGCCGTTTCTACATTGTGTGTTGCGTTTTGCATTTTTGCACGTGTTTTTTTTTTTTATGCGTTTTGCGGGTTTTTTTTTTTTTATTTTTATAAAAAAAAATTCTTATTGCTAGGCAGATTTAAAATGCAAAATGCAGCAAAAAACGCAATACATGCTTTTCTGCAGCGTTTTTATTAAAGTCTGTAGAACCAAAAACACAACTTTTTGCATTCAAAAAAGTCCCTGACCCTTTCCAAAAAATGAACGGGTGAAAATGCGCAGATATGAACATGTCCCATAGGAAATCATGTTAATTGGACTGTACTGCGTTTCTGCAAAACGCTGCAGCAAACGCTTAGGTATTAGCCTAGGGTTAAGAGTTTTTTTTTATCACGGACTTTTGTATACAATTGACAGACTTTAATACTGTTTAGCTCTGCACTTTTTCTGTTATATATGGGTTGTCATTTGTCTTAAGTCATAGAGGGTATACTAGTAAGGGGCTTTCATATTTGTTATTCAGTATTATTCTTATTGGCTAATACATAGGTGCAACAACCAATCAGCAGGCAGTTTGTACCAGGGTGAATTCTGATTAGTTGCTATGGGTTTCTGAATTTAATGATCTGTATTTAGAGGATAAGTACGCCTTTAAAAAAAAAAAACATGTTACATGTGCCACCCGTATTTAGGGTGGTACATGTAACATGTTCCAGCTCCTGCCTCCTCTCTCCCCTGATCCCCCTTCCCTGTGACAGCGGGTCGGGGATTCTCTCCCCACACCCACTGTCACAATTGAAAAAGAAAAAACCATGGCCATGCAGGGCTGCGTCCACACTAGAGTTGTCACCTCATCCCTTTAAAAAAACCGAACTCGGTGCCTAATCTGAATCATTCATTCACAAGAAACTGAATGAATGTCTACAAGTATCATCAAGCATTGCGTCTGACAACTGGTAGTTCTCAATGAACTGCGAGGGTGCTGGTGAGCACTTTGGTCGTCCATTGATTCTTCCTGCCATTCAGTAACTATCTATATGAGGAACAGGCACACAGGTTGCTGAGTATCTGCAAGATCCAGACATTGCACCTGCGATCCGCTGATCATAGGTGCAATGCTTTTACAGGCTCCCTATATTAAAAAAAAAAAAAAAAAAAAAAATATATATATATATATATATATATAACGAAAAGCAAGTATATATATTTGAGTATATATAATTTTTTTTTTTTCCCTGCAAAAAACTGTTTACCGAAAAATGATGTGGATTTATTATTTTTCTGTAAAAGGTGACCTTATTCTTTACAGCAAAACTAAACCCATCGATTTAGCTGTTTCCCCAAAATGGTTTGAACATTTAAAGGATAAGTTCACCTTTTGGAGCATGTTACAAAGGACTCATATTTAGGGTGTAATGTGTAACATTCTCCAGCACCGGTCCCCACACCCCTTGATTTTCCCCCTACCCCATGACAGCAGGTAGGGGATTCTCTCTCCGCACCTGCTGTCATAATTTGAAAACCGTACCCACACAGCTGCGTCATTGAATCACAGGACTCTGTGAATAAATGAACTACGGGTATTGTCTACCGCTGTGTAACGCTTAATGAAGTGTGAGTGCTCTTATGTTCACTGATGTTTTCAAACAGCCCTTACGGAGGTATGAGCAGAAAGCTATAGCAAGTGTCTGTAGGAGCCTGACATTGCTCCCACGATCCAGTGTGGGTGCAATGCTATGCAGGCTCTTTTAGAAAAAAAAAATTATAAAGGCACATTTTTTTACTTGCGAAAACATGTGCATTTTTTTTTTCAAAAGGAGGATTTATCCTTTAAAGGAGAAGTGTGGGAATATAAAAAAAATAAACATACCTGTACATACCTACCCACAAGACCACTTATCATTTAGTTCTTGGGTCCACTCTGAGCACAGAGTGGTGACTGTCAATTACCAATCTCTGCTCTGCCTCTCCAGCGCTCGGCGGTGCCCAAGAAGGCTGAGCTAGAGCTAGCTGCTGGTCAGGCATCTGGGTGGATCCCAACAATATTGTCAGGATACATCCAGAGATTGGAGTGGCTCTTTGACATCACCCAATAGCAGGCTTTACTCTATAAACAGTAGAGCAGGTTCACACTGGCACTGCGGTTTAGCCGCAGTGCGATTTTGTATCTGCATTTTACATGTGGTTCCCATTGACTTCTGTTAGGCTGTGTGTCTTTTGAAAGTATATCAAAGATGCAGCATGCAGGGCTTTAATGCGCTTTCATGCAAATGCACAGTCTAATAGAAGTCAATGGGAGCACACCAAAAATTGTGTGCAAAACGCAGATAAATCGCTTCATCCAAACTGCACCGGTGGTAACCTGCTCTTAAGTAGCCATGTAACACCTGTACTTTGATAAGGGCATATCACCATGTGTCTGAACTTTGGTTGTCCAGTATTCAGCACTAGAAGCTGCTGGCCTTTTACCAACAATACCATGTAACTCCCAGGGGTCTATTTATGAAAAAAAAAATTGTTGGACAAATGTGACAAACCTTTACTCAAACTTCATGAATTCTGACCATGTTTTTCCCAATACGATGATTTCCTACAATTATCAGCTCCGACTAGTGGCCAAAATGTTGTATTTTCTCTGAGATATTTCTGAAAAATTTTCACAGCATGGCCACTAGATGGATCTGACAATCATATGAAATCATTGTATTAAAAAACAAAAAAAGTCCGATCAGAGTTTATGGATAGAGGGACTGTCACATTCATCCAGTGAATTATTAATTAATAGGCCCCTTAGTATTCCTCAGTCACTTCTTGCTATCCATGGCTTGTGATTACAGAGCCTGACTGGGAAATGCTTCCTCTGTGCCCCGATGTTGTCAAAGACGTAGATGATATGGAGGGGGGGGCTGAGCGCAATCATGAGTCTCATGGTGTTGGTGGTAAACAGCTGGCAGTTTCCAATGCTGATTGCTGGAAATGGAGACATGGATGAATGTCAAATGTAGTGTTTTGCATTGTGTGTGTGTGTGTGTGTGTGTGTGTGTGTGTGTGTGTGTTATATGGCTGTTTAATGATCATAGAGGATTTTCTCAGGTGAACGCCCTCTTTAAATATGCCTGTTTAGTGTTCTTTTAGCCAGTTGTTATGTTGTACACTGTTCCTGCATGGTTACCAAAATGTGTGTAGGGTTCAGTAATTCTGCATTGTCAATGGATAAAGCTTGCTAACATAAGCTTTTTACCCTCCCTCCTCCCCTAACCTGTCACCAGTTCTAATAAACACCCTATTACTATCCGCTCTGGGCTCTGCTCAGCTGCCAACACCGGAGCTTCGCGCCAACGGGTTATGGTTCAGCCAATCAGTATCTCTTTCTGAACTCAAAGAAACCAATGAGGAAGCTGTGATCCGGTGCTGGCTGCAGCTGGAAATTACTGTGCCTGGAGGGAGGTATGGGGGTTATTTCTGATCTCTGAAAATGCTAGGGGTTTTGTCTCTGGCTTCAGTACTTTGAGTCATTGACCTGAAACAACCAGACAAAGCCAGAGTGAAACCAGAAATCCTAATCTTCGTACTTGTTCTAGGTCCATGACTCTGAAAGTATGAAGCCACTGGAAAAGCAGGACATTCAGGGCCTTTCTCTTGTATTCAAACCATTTTAAACACAAGCATTCCATTTGTTTAAGGGCATTTTCCCCCTTTTTTTTTTTTTTTTTTTTTTTAGAGCCGTTCTCACACGTTCTCCTGGACAGGAAAGAGGAAATGTGTATCCAACACAACACTAATCTTTATTATGTGAACACATGCCCTATGAAGGTCCTGTGTGACCCCAAAACATTGCACTATTTTTACTGCAACATGATTTCTTTAATAATTTTGTTGATTTGCAGGCTGAAATGAAGACACACTCTGTTTTTAAATAAAAAAAAAAACACAATCACTGAGTTGGGAAAAAAAATCACCCCCTTGTGTCAGTATTTTGTTGATCCACCTTTTGCTTTAATTCCAGCCTTTAGTCTGTTGGAATATATCTCTATAAGTTTGCACATCTAGACTTTGCAATATCTGTTCACTCTTCTTCGCAGAACTGCTCAAGTTCAGTTAAATTTGATGGGGACCGTTTGTGAACTGCAGTCTTCAAGTCATTCCACAGATTTTCAGTGGGGTTTAGTCTGGGCTCTGACTAGGCAATGCAAGAACATTCACCTTTTTCTCCTTCAACCACTGTGTGGTCATGGTTGCTGTGTGCTTTGGGTCATTATGTTGGATAAACCTTCTTCCCATTGACAACTTTCTGACAAAGGGCGGCAGATTTTCTTCAAGAATTTGACAATATTTTGTCCCACCAATTTTTCCATCTATCCTGACAAGTGCTCCAGTTCCTACTGCAGAGAAACATCCCCATAACAGGATATCACCACTTCTATGCTTTACTGTAGAAATGGTGTTATTTGGATGGTGAGCTGTACTGGATTTCCGACAGACATATCATTTGGTGTTGATGCCAAATAATTAAATTTTAGTCTCATCTGACCATAACACTTTTTTCCATGTGGCCTCAGAATCTTCAAGGTGCATTTTGGCAAAGCTCAGTCGTGACTGCATTGCATGTGGCCTTTCTTGAGGAGTGGCTTTTTTCTAGCAATGATCCCATACAAGCCACAGTTGTGATGAATTTGTGATATTGTCACATGCACACAATTACCACTCTTTGTCAAATTCCTTCAACTGCTTCAGAGTTGCTGTAGGACTCTTGGTAGCCTCTCTGACCAGTTTGCTCCTGGCTCTTTCATCCAGGTTGGAGCGACGTCCTGATCCAGGGAAGGTCTGTGTTCTACCAAATACCTTTCTCTTCTTAACGATAGACTTCACTGTGCTTCTAGACATTGATAAAGCCTTTTTTCATTTTTTTTTGTATCCACCTCCTGACTTGTGCCTGTCCAAAACTTTATCCTAGTGATCTTTTGACAGTGCCTTGCTGCCCATAGTTGATTGTTTGCTTCAGTTGCACTATCAGGGACTGAAATGCTCCAGGAAAGCTCTTTTAATGCTGAGCTAATCAAAATGGCTACAGCTAATCACAGTTGAAAGTCATATGGCTTTGATGTGCCCATGGACTCTGCCTGGCCTTCAGGAGATTTTCCATGGACACACAAAGACAGGGAAGATTTGGACTTTTCCTGGTAGTAGTTTGTGCATGGGAAACCCTGTGCATGCACAGATAGCTTTGACACATGCGTAGAAGTGCCACAGGGCTTCAAGAACCCAAGCCCTGCATCACATCTGTGCATGTGCTTGGGGGGCGGGAGATATTCTCATCTAGGGGAGAATTAAGGAAGTGTTGCCTTGCAGCAGAAATAAAAGCACTTTAAGGAAAAAAAATTACATTTGTAAGAGAGGGATGGGGGTGGAGGTAGGGCAGCACAACGTACCCTTTAGGATGAATTTCTGCTTTAAATGGTAAAGCAGACAAGACTTGGTTCACACTACTGTGATGTGGCTTTGATGTGATTTATAATGTGACTTTGATTTGACTTTGCATATTCTTTGGGGTCATCACATTTTAAATCACACCAAAGTAGCAGAGGAACCTTTTCCAGAGTTGCACGGTGCTGCGTTGTATTGATTAAAATGGGCACCATTTCCCTAGTGCGATTCTGTGCAACTCAAGTCATACTACTGTGAACCAGGAGTAAATGTTTAAAACTGAGTACATGTTGTGATACGTTGTTATTTACTTTGCTTAGAAAATAGAATAAAATGTACTAGACTTTGTGTTTTTTTTTATTTTGTTATTAATTAACCGGTAATTGCTTGCTGTCCTTTCCTTATAGTGAATCTATAAAGCTACCTATGCAAAAGTGTTTGTTCTTAGCAGTAGCCAATATCTTTTTCTTAAAAGTACCTTCATTTTTTTTTTTTTTTTTTTTTTTTAAATCTTTCTCCATTTGGCTTGCCTGTGGTGTTCGAGGCATAGTGTGGCAAGACCTAACATATGTATTGTAGTGCAGGCTACTGGATGGTTACGAAGTCCCTGGGCTGTAGAAACAGCCTGGCAGTGGCCAATGTTGCAAGGAAACCACAGTGCCATCCAGCTCCCTTCAGTCCCAAATGCATTACAACCTTTTAATTTATTACTGGAAAAACACGAGAATGTAAAAGACATTATTAACAATATAATGTGCCATGACCCAAACCATTATCTTGGATTTTTTTTTTTTTTTTCTTAATCCAAACAATTTTTTTTTTAAATAAACATGAAGTGCAAATATAGTATTACAGTGTATAAATAGAGTATAAACGAGAGGGTTTACAGTGAAACTAATAAAGAAAACTTCCAGCAGGTATACAAGACACTGTTATGGTACAAAGTCAGGCTGCTGATGGCAACAGAAGAATGTTAAAAACAAGATTCTATTAGGTGTATTCTACTGTACAAAAAAAAAATGTGGGGGTTGGGGGACTTGGTAATATATTATAATATTACGGGGAAGCCTATAGAACAGATTATAGGAAATCCCATAAGATCCTGAAGGACTGGACGCCTCTCAATCCCCACATTATAGCTGGAGGAGGTATCTACTATGATAAGGTGGGTAACAAGTTTAACTATCTGTACTGTAGGCTATGTCATCCTCCAATAAACGTGCTAGTCTGGTGGTCAAGTGACTCCAGGGAGAGGAGGAGAAAAAAAGGAGAAAGGGTAAAACAAAATGGGGGGGCAACTAGAGCATTAGGAAAGAGGCGGGCGCTGTATCAGAGAGATGTGTAGAAGTTGAGGGCAGTTGCCTATGTGGAGTAAGGCAGGCGGGCCATCCCTTACATTCTTGTATGTGGTTCGTAATGTGCTGCCAAAAAAATATGGGACTGAAAGAGATATAAAATTGTCTTTTCTTTCTGGAGATTAGTCAATTAGAGCTCTCAGGGAGGGTGGGTCGGTCAGGGTTATCATGACTGCTGTTATGTGGGTTCAGGAGTAGCTTTCAGTATTTGGCGGAGCGCGTCGGTTGTTTGAAAATGGAACCAGCAGGCCCATGTTTTTGTGAATTTGGAGGGGAATTCTTTAGCAATATGTATTAATTCCTCCATTTCAGTGACTCGGGAAATTTGTGTAACCCATTCTACAAGAGATAGGACCTTGGAGGAACCCCAGTGTATCGGTATGCATGTCTTGGCTGTGTTGATCAAGTGCATCACAAGTGACTTGTGATAGACTTTCAGGCGAAGTACTGTGTGGTGTAGTAAGTACTGTACTGGGGAGTAGGCTAGGGCTTTGGTTGTTACTTGGAGAATAATGGAATGGACATCAGACCAGAAAGGGTGGATCAGTGGACAATCCCACCACACATGTAGGAGTGTACCAGCCACTTGGTGGCATCTCTAATAGCGGTTGGGGAGAGAAGGATCAATTTTGTGTAGCAAAGCCAGGGCCTGTACCACCTGGACAAGAGTTTATCATTTTATCTCCTGAATTGAAACATTGATCGAGCCTTTATGAGCGTATGGAAAATCTTATCCCATGCTGCGGGGGTTACATCCATTTTGAAGAACTCTGGACCAGGCAGCACAAGCTTTCCTCGTATCTGTTGGTATATTAGCTCTCAGGAGATTGTGATTTGTTGATATGACGAGTTGCTGTGGGTTTGCCTTCGAAATGCTGTAAGTAGCCTAGACTGCGTTACTGTAGGGTGTGAAGTTTTAAAAGAGTGATGAAGCTGGAGATGTGTCCATTTGTACAACATGCTTCAGGCCAACATGAAGCCAGTTGTTCCTGTTCCAGCAATCTTGTAATTTATGGAGATTACTGTGCATACTATGTGATTTATAGAAATAGTTACTGAGGTTTAATGTGGTAGATTAACTATATCCATAGTAAACTAATCAGTAGGAAACTTCCTTCTGATTATGATGTCACAAATAATAGAAGCAAACTGTGCAACCAAATGAATCCATCAAAAAAGTGTCACACACTCAAAAGGGATCTTCAATATCACCGGATCATACAGCTGCACCTCCAGTAATGTTGTGTACCTTATCCAGTGCAGAAAACGCAGCAAAGGATCTTATGTTGGCGAAATAGGACAGAAGTTGCGAACAAGGATGAATTTGCACAGACATACCATCAAGGAACATAAAGAAGATGACTTCTGCACACCTGTGGGACACCATTTAGCACAACCGGACCACACTATGGAAGACCTCATTATCTTCGTTCTTAAAAGAAATTTCAAAACTATCCAGGAAAGGAAAACTTTTGAACTAAGAATATTTCTTTTTGGTACAAAAGATAACGGCCTTAATTTGGACAAGGGATTCCTCACTCATTATCCAACAGTTTTACAACCCCCCCTCTGTGAGTGTTGTTCCAAGCCCCCCACCCCAGTCTTTGCTTTTCTCTGTCTTATCTCTAGTCTAATCCTAGTTGTATAACCATTTTTTTTTTTTTTCCAGTTTCTTCCCCCCTCAGAGATTTTCTTTTAACATTCTGCTAAAACTTTGTGAAGTAGTACTGCTTGGACCTTGAAGAAGGGGACATACCCCGAAAGCTTGTCCTGGAAATTGTATGTTAGTGCAAATAAAAAAAAAAAAAAAAAAAGTATCATGGACAGTACAGTAAAGCAAGTCCATTAGTCTAAAGGTTTGTAAAAGGCTACCAATTATTCCAACAGCTAGACAATATACAGGCTGGAAGACCTACAATGGACAACCTAAGAACATCAAAGTCACATGGATTTCATATAGGCAGACTGAAAAATTGTCTTCCCATAGACAGTTTGTTGCACATTAATAGTCCTGGAAAGTACACTTTATAACTATGTTTTGTGAGCACCGGACCATTACATCTGTATGAATGCATTGGACATTGCATCCCAAAGCATTCAGGTACTGATGGTGGGTGAGAAGACCTGTCTTGCAGTCCATGTTCTGATTCATCTCAAAGGTGTCTGGCAGGGTTGATAACAGAACTCTGTGGAGGCCAGTCAAGTTCCCCAGCACCCAACTTGTCAAACCATGTGTTTATAGCCCTACCTTTTGTACACCTGAACTAAATAGATTGAATGGCTGGCCACAAATGTTTGCTTACATGGTTTTTAATATTTGAAATATAACTTGTTTACTTTTACATACTGTTGAGCACCCATACATGAGCCCTTTTCCAATGCCTATTCCACCAATTAAATAATCTTATAGGATATTTGTGGTTATAAAAACTTGTTAATGAAAAATTGATTAGCTACTGAACTAACTTAATAGTTATAGATTACTGGACATGTTTCGAAATCTATTAATTTTTTTTTTACCATGATTAAGCTTTAGGAGAACTAATGTGACTACACATTGACTACATGACACCATGATAATGGTTGGATTGCATTTGCCTGTATGACTGTTCCTTAATGACTGTGTACAGCCTTATCTGAGCAATATCTTGCAGATTACAAAATGCTGTTGTGTAATAGTGTGTACTCAGGCTTACACGTCACAATTCACTTTGTAGGCAACCGTTCTCCAAATATTTATCAGATGTGCACCTTATGTATGTAATCTAGATAGTACTATTCCAAATATAGTCTTTCCCCAAAAAATCCTGATTTGTCCTATAACAATTACCTTAGTGAAAAAATAATTTCTATAAGAAGTATACCTTTAGAACAGCCCTACCCTTCTAGAAGCAGCCAAGGTAAGATTTTGGGTGCTCAGCTCACCACTCTACTGACAAGTAGCTCTGTAGTAGCTGCTTTGAGTTGTACAGGTACCTGTCACTGCCCACACTAATAAATTGATGGAGAGTCAGACTGGGCTGCCTGAAAATTACCACGTCATATGAAAGGTATTCTAAATAATATGCTAACTACAATGTGCTGAGTGTTTTATCTTGTACATGCCAAAACTTCTACTGCCCTCCAATAGTCACCACTTTGTCTACTAGTTGTTGTAGATATACTATTTATTTATTTAATGGCTGTTGTTACATTAAACATTATTTATGAGATCCATGCAATCATGCGCTTTCCATTTTATTTTTATTAGCATGTCTAAGAAAATCCAAGGTGGCTCCGTTGTGGAGATGCAGGGGGATGAGATGACTCGGGTTATTTGGGAGCTGATTAAAGAGAAGCTCATTTTACCTTATGTGGAATTGGATCTGCACAGGTAATTTATTTTCAGTTTTCTTCCACTTTATTTCCTAGTAAGTAGTAGCCCTCCCTCATGTTGTATTTAACATTGGCCATATGCTGTAATTCTTCAGTAACAGTGCATGCATTATTCAATTTTATTAAAAGGATCATGTCACTTTATACCTACAACTGTAGTTTGTTAGCACTCAGGATGTGTATTGTATTCCATCAACTTTCATTACTGACAGATGTCTATTTGGTTATCAACCACTTGAGCTCTGGAAGGTTTTACCCCCTACATGACCAGGTAATTTTTTGCTATTTAGCACTGCACTACTTTAACTGGTAATTGCGCAGTCATGCAATGCTGTACCCAAGTACATTTTTATATAATTTTTTTTACACACAGAGCTTTCTTTTGGTGGTATTTGATCACCACTGGGTGAAGAAGGGAGAAGATATAAAGAGATCATTTCCTCTGCACAGAGCCCTGTGTTGTTTCTTAACACAGGGCTCTGAGCTGTGGACACAGCCAGTTATCAGGTGTCACCCATGAATCATTGGCTGAAACCTGCTGCCAAAATTACGATGTGTCCAATCACAGCAGGTGTCAGCTGGGAAGAAGGGCGCGCTTCCTGAGCCCAGAAGACACTGCCAATGTAAGACTGTGCCTGTACGAGCCGCCTGCCCGTAGTAGAATGCAGGTGGGTAGTCAGCAAGTGGTTAAAGTATAAGTAGACCCTCACACAACCAATTACATTTTAAAATAGAAAAAATATTGTGTATTGTGGTTTTGCACTTCCTGAAGACTCTTTGATCGAAATGCGTCGAAGTTTGATGACGCAACTTCCGCTGACATCACATCCGGCCTATGGAACACACGCCGCTCTGAGGAGCGCTTAGTATAGCGGCTTCCATACATCAGGATCAATAAGGCTGCGTACACCAGGTGTCGGGCATAATCACTTTTATTTATGAGTGATTTTTTTTTTTTTTTTTTTTTTTTTTTTTACATTTACCCCTCAATAAAATATCTTATGGTTTAACACTATGGGATATCCTCTTTGCTTTTTTGTGATATGACTATCCTACACTCACGGAGATTTGAAAACAACTGTTCCATTGGGGAATGTCCCACAAGTGTTCTAGACCATTTTAGAAATAGATGGCCATCGGCTAAGGGTGAGTTCTGGTCCATGTGGGGCACCTTGTTGAGCACTTTGATTTGACTGAAGAAATTAAGCACTTCAATTAGGCTGGAGCACAAGCATGTGCACTTGTTTCCCCATTTGGGACTTTATTAAGGGCAATTTATGCTGTATGTTATTGTTTGAAATATATGCACATGATTATATGTTTAATAGTTTAATACTGATGCACAGCCTTTTTATTTTATTATTTGTTTATTGTGGCATATTGCACAAGTTTAGGACTGCTGCAATAGTCTAATCCATTTTTTTTTTTTGCTAAGTATTGAACATCCAGAAACGCATGAGCACTATTTTAAGTATTGTGTATATACTTTTTTTTTTTCCAACTGAGAACAGAGAGCTGCTTAGTGTGGTCAATTTTCATAGGAAAGCAGGAGACTGGCAGGAACACCAGGGATTTCACACAATGGAAGCAATACAAAGAGAACAGGATACCTTTTCATACCAGTACATGGTACAGCAGGCACATATCAGGAATATTAAATGTTTACATACTCTTTAAAAGAGACGTTTGAGGTTTTATTTTTCGAAATTATACTAACCTAGGTGGATGCAGCATCGGTCTGATGCTGCATCTGCCCCTCGCTGAGTTTTCACTGCTGCTGTGAGCAGAGAGCGGTGACTATCAGTCACCGCTGTCTGTTCTCCCCCTCCCCAACTCACTAGAGAGTTGGGCTGTGGAGAGGGGGGGGGAGTGGCTGGCTCATGCTTTCAGTGGCTCGCTGGGAGGCCAGGTGCCTCTCCAGACTCTGGGGTGGATCCCGACTTTAAAGTCGGGATCTTTCCCTAGCCTGGATAGTGACATCATTCGACAGGAGTGCAGAACGAACTGCACTTCTGTGAACCACAGGAGACGTACAGCCATAAAGAGCTTTGGCTGTACTTCTCCTTTAAGCAGTGACATGACTTGTGCTGTCATAAGAGGTATATTTGTTCAGTGTACGCATTTCCCCGATGTTCAGTCTGATTCACATTGGACAGATCTGCCACCCTTTGTGAAGGGCTAAAGCACTTAGAGACTGCATTACACTTTCCAAAAGTGTTCTTTATGATGCTCTGTACTCCTTAGATATCCATATAGTTGTGGTTAGATGGGGATTTGTAATCATCTGTTACCTATGGAAGATCACACTAACAAGCTGTGACTTTGCACATTTGCTTGTATTTTTTTAGTTAAACTTTGACTTATGACTAAAGAATTTGTTTGCCATGCTCAGCTGGGTCAGTTGCAAATACTTGTTGTAGATCATATACATGGTACAATGTCCAATCAGCATAGTGAGCAGAAACATTTCATCTTTTTAATTAGCTTAATATAGATAAATGTATCACTATATGTTAATGTTTCAGAAATTAGAGTGCTTCTTTGTATGTGTGATAATATATTCATAAGCGCTGCGCAAACTGTTTGGCGCTATATAAATCCTGTATAAGAATAATAATATGGTTGGATAATGGCAGTTTTGCTTCATGATTCTGTATGGTGTTCTCTTTATCTCATTGTAAGTCTGTAGGTGGCTATTCATGGCCTGGTCTTGTCCCCAGTTGTAGGCTCCATGTGAAATTCAAGCCATATAAGCATACACTGGGAGACAATAATGCGTGTGTTCGATAATCAGATGCCCTCATGTTTTGAATAATTTGTTGAAAAATCTGTCTTTCCAGTAAGTAGAAGGATAGATCAGTCAAATTACAAAGAAGTACTTCAACTTCTAAATTATTTCCACTTTCTGGCTAAGCCACAAAAATTATTACAATGGTTCCTGAAGGTTTGGAGACAGTCGCTTGTCCTCCAGAAGTTGCTAGGAGGTTCCTTGAGCAATGGGCATTTTCTACCTTTTAGATATTTAACCACTTTTTTTCAGCCATCTGTATTGAGATGGTGATGCAGGTATTCTTCCCACTGACTACCAATGTAAGAAGCATTTTTCCTACTGACCACCACATTACCATAGGCTGTGGATATAGTAATTATTGGCAGGGGGTCCCTGAGACCTATGGGTTATTTCAAGGGTTCCTTTATGTTCAAAAGGTTGCGAGAGGTTGATGCAGGGTGAGGTGTATATAATTTGTTAAAGCTTGCCCTAACATTGCATTGCTAGTAGTAAATTTTGTTGACCTCACAGATTAAATCTGAAACATTGTGTGTGTGTGTGTATGGCCAGCATAAAGCAAACCCACTAACATTAGACTAGTGTTTTTCAACTGGGGTTAGCAATCTGCAAGAGGTCACCAGGGGTTCCGTAGTGATCTACCCATAGGTCACAGGCAGCTGACTGGTAGATCCAATCCCCTCTGCCTACTCATGCACAGCTACACAGACAGGAGGTTCTGTCTGTGTAGCTGTTCAGCGCTGCTCCCTGCTGGGCCCCCCCCCCTTCCTTAGTTTAGCTGTACAACTGAAGGAGACCACAGCCCTGCCATTTGCCCTGATCCCATGTAAGGTGCCCTGATCCCATGTAAGGTGCTCTGATCCCATGTGCCCTGCTGCGTGCCCCATTATGTGCCCTGCACCCATGTAATGTGCCATGCTGCACCCCATGTAGTGTGCTCTCCTGACCCCCTGTGCTTTTCCCTGCTGCCCCTATGCAATGCTTATCAAGTTTTGACCCACAATTGAGCTTCCGTGTAGAAAAAAGCAAGAACAAGCTTTGCAATAAACCGGTACATTTTAATTTTGATTCTATTATGTTGCCAAGGGTCCCTCCAAGGTAAAAAGGTTGAGAAACCGTGTAGTATGAATTAACAAAAAAGGGGAAAAGGACTTTAAAGGCACCAAAGAACTGGACAAAAATTAATTAAAAATTGCCTAAGTTTATTATAGAAAACATTAAAAATAGCACAGAACACTGTGCATATAAAAAGATATAGAAAATATTGGTCTACTGAACATGCAGAAACCAACAATAATACAATTAAATGTGTTCATAAGATGTGTTAAGTGGAACTTGGTCTCCAAAAAAAAAAGGGGATGATGATAATTCGGTCTGTATACCAGCCAGGAAGCTAAACAACATGGAGAGGGGGAATAAACCCGGTAGCAATAGACAGTCAGTCAGTAGAGTAGGAGTCCATATGTCCTGAAGCAATCAAAAAAATCATGTCCCCATCTAAAAAGGTAAATATAAAACAAGAACAAAAACTCCATTAACCCTACATAGGAAAGAAAAAGGAAAAAAGTCCAAAAGTCTGATTAAAACAGCCAAATAACAAAACAAGGTAAAGCTTACCAGTGAAATGTAGAAAAGAAGAGGCACATCAAGAGGCAAACATATCTCCTGCCTTTTTATACCAGAAGTTAATGCCAAATATACATACCATGAGGAACGTCCATATTTATGCCAAATAGGAGCAAGTAGCGAATAGGCGATAAAATAAGAAATGGCGCCAAAATACCAAACTGGCGCCGAAACACCAAACAACAATGTATTCCAACTCAGAGGGGGAAGGAGGATCAGGTCCTCCCTCCTCGGCGTACCCTGCCCAACTTCCAGGCCGGCTATATATTCAGTTGCATTAGACAGTGCTTGCCAAAAATTCTTTTTTTTTTTGGAATAGTACAAAAAGATGTAGAATGACCCAACTTATAAAACTATTGCAAATCCAAGTTTGTGTAAAATGAACAGTCTATTCTAGAAATTACTGCAGTACTGTGTGTCACTGTGGCAGATGGATTTCTAGTTCTTAATGGATGATCACCACATTTGTAGTCCATAGGCACCCTCTCCAGCTCTCTATCTGAAAGCCCATAGAACTAGAGCTGGAGGAAGAGCCTTCAGGAGACTAACTTTGCGCCCGCAATCCACTATTCGTGGTTGCAATGCTTTGCAAGTATATATATATATATATATATATATATATATATATATATATATATATATATATATATATATATATATTATAATTTAATAATAAAAATAAATTTTATATTTTTGCGCGTAAGGTAGACTTATCCTTTTGAGGCCCACAGGTAAATGTCAGTGATTGTACATCAGACAGCACATAGCATAAAATTATCACTGCTCTTTAGAAGTGTTCACTCAGCTTTTATATATGCACTTTGGCTAAGGGCTTTACCTTTTTTTCCCTTTGCTCTACTTCGTCCAACAATTTTGTTTATCAGTCAGAGACTTTGAACAGATTAAGGAACTCATTTTTTTTTTTTTTTTTTTTTCTAGTAGATACATTGCGCAAGAATTATGGCTGCAAATCTTTAACAATACAGAATTTGGAGAAAAGGTCACACTAGGATTTCCAGTTCTCCAAGTTATGGAATACTTTTCAACAGATCTCACGCTCTGATGGCTATTATGAAACCCTAATTATACAAATCTTCTTAATAACCTTATCTTATAATAAATTATATTAAATGACTGCACCATTCTTATGGACCTGTTTATTTGAGGTATGCAAAGTCAGAAGGTCTGTTGGCATTGTGGAGGGGTATGTTCTTATTAAAATTGAGAACACTGGTCTGTCTGCTGCAGATTTCATAATCCAAGTTCTCTCCTTAATACATTTTTGGAATATCCTGGAATCCATGTTTTCCAACATCAACAAAACAGACATATATTTTTTCATGTAACATTCAAACGTCAGGGATTTGTACTGTCAAAAACAAGGACAAGCGTGATGCTGTTCTTGTGAATTGGACACTGTTGGCAGCTAGAAGTATCTATTGGCAGGGATGATTAAGACGCATATAAAGCTAAAAAGACTGCCAGGGATGTTTCTACTATTACATGAACTGTACATAGCCTTATATCTCTTGCTGCATGAATTCCTATATTTTATTCAAGGGGATTTTAGCAGTATCACTTATACAGGTAAAGCCATCCTAGGCCTCCCGGACACTTGACTTTTTTTTTTTTTTTTTCATCTGCTCCTTTGGAGGGTCTGGCATCCAGGAGCAGCAGCATTTTGGCAGAAACAATATCATTACCGTCTGTAAACACATCTAAGCGTATAAATTATTATTCTGGCCAGTTAAATTAAATAATACCCAAGCACCTGATACGCCTAACCACATTACTTTTACTTTTACAAGCATCGAGTGTTTTTTCTGCCACACTGCTGCTGCCAGGAGGAAAGGCTTCTAGGAGAGTTGGCAAAATGCCCTGTGTGCATGAGGCCTTATGGTTTTTCCTGATGTCATTTTGTGATGCCCCAAGATGTCCTGCTAGACAATTTATAGTGCTGTAAGTGTCTTTGTCACTTTCCATAACATTTATTATAAACATAGAATGGCCAGCATTCCTAGGTCAATGTAAAAAGCCATCTTCAAAACATAATTCAGAATATTTTTTACATTTTGTTTGTCATGCAGAGTAGCATAATTTTGGAACACACCTATGAACTACACTTGAAATTCTTGGACCTTGTACGAACCTCAGAGGTTTCACATTTTTAGATCAAATCTGTAAATGTGCTAGGGCACCAAGAGGAGATCACTGGTAGACAGGACTTCATCATGAATACAGGCTGTAGAGGGTGACCGAGTTTACTTCAGACCCCGGTTCAAGAACAAGTCAAGCAGGTTCTGGTTAATACAATTAATCTTAACAGGCTCAAAGTGAAAGCCCTTTTCAGGGTACTAGTTATGTCACTTTAATACAGGTCACTTCACCAGCATTAGGCTTGTATTGTCTCTAGACAGGGGCACTAATAATAACTTTACCCTAGGCTCCTTCTATAACAAGATGGAATTTCATGCATAGGAGGTCACACAAGATCACCTCACCATAGGTAAAGAAACCGTGTCATGTCTGCACATCATTGTTGCACTTTATATTGTGTTGCTGTTGATATAACACATTGTATCTTTACAGCTATGATCTTGGAATGGAAAATCGTGACTTGACTGATGATAAGGTCACAGTTGAAGCTGCTGAAGCCATCAAAAAATACAATGTTGGGATTAAGTGTGCTACCATTACCCCTGATGAGAACAGAGTTGAGGAGTTCAAGTTAAAGCAAATGTGGAAGTCACCAAATGGAACCATCAGAAACATTCTAGGAGGAACTGTATTCAGAGAGGCCATCATTTGTAAGAACATTCCCAGACTCGTCTCTGGATGGGTCAAGCCTATCATCATTGGACGTCATGCTTATGGGGATCAGGTGAGGCTTTAGATATTCATCAACAACAAAAAGCAAAAACCTGGAATGTGCATCAAAAATATTTAAAAATCATGAAGTTTTAAAATATCCTGCATCACAGATATGTGCAACCTCATTACTACCCAAAGATGACAAAATATTGTAGGGAAATGTGTACTGAAAACATCAGCCTCATTGATAAGAAAAGAGATGTATCACAAGGTAACTCAATAAATAGCTGTAGATATGGGCATCAACAGTTCAGCACAAAGCAGCTGAAAATAATGGCTCCTCAAAGAAAAAATACTAATTCATAAAGTGCAGGCAAACTAAGAAGTAGGTACCAAGAAGAACACTCCAAGGCACTGGTTCATAATTCCAGCTCCTTTGTGCTGAGCTGTTACTGTTCCTTCGCTTGTGTAGGGTTGCCATAAGTGTAGCAGCTTGCTGTAGTAGTCATGCAAGGCTGACATTGTTATGTGGTAGATCCTTTTTCGGATCCCTCTGACATTCACTGCCCTGTCTGTGATTGCAGTTAGGAGGCAGTGACAAAGGGAAAAGAACTTCCTTGACTTTGCCCAAAACATTACTGCAGTCCCAGAGTCTGACAGAATATTTGGTTTTGTGTGGTGCACGGGGATGTATCTGAAGTAATGTGCGGCTTAACACAGGATCCTTCTCCCTGCGCCTGACCATTGCAAGGATTATGGCTATTACTAGCAACATCATCAATAATTAATTAAATTTTTTTTTTTTTTTTTTACAAAAATGAAGGGTAGTGACTGCTATTGGGCAGAGGGAGGATCTGGAATATTTTAAGTCAGATCCTGGATTTTTTTCATTTTGAGTAATGAAGGTTTAATCAAAAATATTTGAAACAAAAGGAGACCTTTCATTTGTGATTAAATATTGCCAGAGATCATTGACCGCAATAATGACATATCTCATAGATTGCTGCAAAGAAGATGACATTTCATTCCATGAATTCAGAATATAGTCCCTCTTGTCAAGGTGTGAAAGAAAAGTACACATATCAGTCCATGGTACATAGACGCATCATAGATCCAGGTGCGACCAATGACCGGTTTCGCCGGACCCCCCATCCCGGCTGCTTCAGAGGCTGAGAGCTCTCAGTCCAACCAATAATTATATATTTATAAAATGTAATTATTAATGAATTATATGGATGACATTTGTTTCATTGGATCCAGGTTCACTACCTCTGACCCATAGCTTTCTTTTATATTGGGTTTATGTCATTCTGTTTGTGTTATTTTAACCAATAAAGGTTCATTGCTGCTGTCAATTATCTCTGTCCAATATTTAATCACAAATGAGATTTCTATTTATGTTTCAAATATTTTGGGTTTGAGATGCTGATTTTCAAGTGTGGAGTATTTTGATTTTGTATTTTGTGGCGAGCTCTCCTCCCCTTAATTACATACTCTAAGACACAAACCTGGTAGGATAATTTTTTCTTTTAATTTTTGTATTAAGTAGTGAAGGGTTGGATCTTCTGTCAAATTTTATTTCATGGTTTTTATCACAATTTGGTAGATATCTTCTGACTTCCAGTTTAACATACATGCTGCATAGTTTGAAAAGTAAATGTAAAAAAAAAAATAATTGTTTCAACAAAGCATTTTGTCTTATTTGCAGTACAGGGCAACCGACTTTGTTGTTCCTGGTCCAGGCAAGGTGGAAATCTCATTTACTCCTAAAGATGGTGGAAAACCCATTAAATATGTTGTCCATGATTTTGAAGGTATGTGTTTATTTTATGATCATGTCATGTTTTTAACGTTGTTCCTCTGCATAGTACTCCTCTGCACAGTTCTTATATATGCATCATTTATACTGCAAACATTTTTGTAACTTTTTTTTTTTTTTCTCTGTATTAGATTAATTTGCTTCATCCCTTGAATAACATCTGAAATTCCAAATTAGCTTTCCGCAGCACTGTGCATATGATGTATATTTTTGGCCATTTGTTAGTTTGACTTGCAGCTGTACTTTTGAAGCAAAACCTGGAGAAAAACCATGCTTCATATCCCAGTTGACTTCACAACATGTCTTTTAACCATATTGTGGAGCTATTACTTTTTAATTTAGATTTACTGTTGGTGGAAAGTGTTTTATCATTGGTTTGAAATTTTTGTCTTTTTAACCACTTGCCTACCGAGCACTTTTACCTCCTTCCTGCCTAGATTGTAAGTTCCTTGAGGGTGGGGACTGATGTGAATGTACAAAAATCATGTAAAATGCTGTGTATTTTGTTGGGGCTATATAAGTTCATGTAGTAACTACTACTTTGAGATTGGCCTAAGAGGGCAGATGACTATGTAGTCATGTTTTTCCTCCTGAATCTCCAGATGGATCCATAAAAATGCCTACACTGATCATCTAATTATGAACAGTAGGTTTATGTTGTAAAGGCAGAAAAGCTGCCAGATGTTTAAAACTTATTTTGGATAAAACAATAGCTGTTTTCAACAAAGACGTTTTTCTGACTACTGGTCTCAACAGTAACCGTTGATCTTTTGGCCTTTTGTATTGCTTTTTTATATTTTGTAGCCCGTTTACCCTTTTGAATGACAGCTGTCTAACAGTACCATTATCTGATATGTCTAGTTGCTTGAATATTTTATCAGTTGTTACAGGTACACACTGTTTTCTCTGGGACCTATTTCTCTTTTGTATATAAGAGACTCAGCATCTATTTCCCAGACAGAATTAAAAAAATATTTTTTACAGCTAGAAAATTATTACTAGAACATTATTGTTTTCTAAACATATTTTTGTTGCTTATGTCATAATGTGAAAGTTGAACAAATAATGCTTAGATTTACTTACATTTTAAGAAAAAGAATACTGTTTTTGGGACAAATGGATACATCTTTAGGGAAAACAGATGGTGATTTTAAAAATATTTTTTTTTTCTTGTACAGATGGTGGAGGTGTTACTCTTGGAATGTACAACACTGACAAATCCATTCAAGATTTTGCACACAGTTCCTTCCAGATGGCACTGGTGAAAAGTTGGCCTTTGTACATGAGCACTAAAAACACCATTCTCAAGAGATATGATGGACGCTTCAAGGATATATTCCAGGACATCTATGAGAAGTATGTAGCACTTTATTTTAATTGCTAAGATGTAGTCAGGTTTTGGAACATACATGTGAAATCAGTTTGAAAAAGTCTGTGTTTTTTTTTTTTTTTCAGTTCAATCATTAACTTCAGCCTCAGCAGAATACCCGTATGTTGCCAGGTTGAAGGGGTTATACTGGGATGATGCCTGCAGCTAAAGGTATAGGCATCATCCCAGTATCTTCTTCCCTTTTTTTTTTTTTTTGTACATCATTGCCCCCTCCCCAAAGGCGAACACATACATAGGTTGTGCAAGTGGTGTGGTATCTCCGTGAATGTTTTATAGCGATAGTACTAATTCTAGCACCAGACTACCTGTTTAACTTTAAACTGGTAACTTGTAAAGGCATTTAAAGTGTTGCCTATGGATAATGTAATGTGCTGTAGCTTGACACCATTCCACGAGCATGCACATTTTTAAAGCATGTCATGTTAAGTATCTGTTTACTTGGCGTAACATCATCTTTTATACTTTACCAAACAATTGGGAATTATATGTGTTTTTGCATTAAAATTCATTAAAGTGTATTTTTTTCCACAAAAAAATTGTGTTTGGAAAATACCGTGTGACATAAGAAAATTGCAAAACCCACCATTTTATTTTCTAGGGCCCCTGCTTACAAAAATAAATAATGTTTGGTGGTTCTAAGTAATTTTCTAACATAAAATAAAATTCTGACTTTTACATGTAGGAGAGGAATGTCTGAATTGGCCTGGGGCTGAAGTGGTTGAGGGTAGCCAACATTATCTAGACTATCCAAATATATTTTATGATTATGTTATGAGAACCTGCTTTTGAGTTGCAATGTAAGTATTTTGTTGTAAACTATGAGATTACTAAAAGCATTTACGTTTTGTCATATATGTGATGTAGAGGAAAAATGTAATGTGCTTGGTCATTCTGTTCAACACAGATACTGGAGCTCTGCTGACACTACAGTAGAGTTCATTGAACCTCACATATTGTAGCAGAACTTGCAAGTCTTGTTTGTCTTTGGAGACCAGCACCAGTTGGCACTTGCTGTGTAAACAAGGGTGACTAGTGTGTATATCATCGTACAGTGTGGGCCCCTCAATGGATTTTACGGTTGCCCGGAAATATTGATATTTGTTTTTAAATGAATGACATTATGTTGAATCAATGATGATGAAGCAATGAAGTTTGACTCTTTTACTGTTGTTCAGTTAATAGCCTGTACTGTAATAGTTGGAGTAGTATTTTGCTTAATATATGGTTGTGATTATTGATCTAATAGAGAGGTCTCCAAACTGTGGCCCTTTGCTTGCTTTTATCTGGCCCTTGGGGTATTATTCCTCCCGGTGTCAGCAACAGTGTGGTATAGTTCTTCCCACTGACCCCAATGATGGGCCACTATTCCTCCCAATGATGGGCCACTATTCCTCCCAATGATGGGCCACTATTCCTCCCAATGATGGGCCACTATTCCTCCCAATGATGGGCCACTATTCCTCCCACTGACCCCAATGATGGGCCACTATTCCTCCCAAGGATGGGCCACTATTCCTCCCAAGGATGGGCAACTATTCCTCCCAAGGATGGGCCACTATTCCTCCCAAGGATGGGCCACTATTCCTCCCAAGGATGGGCCACTATTCCTCCCAAGGATGGGCCACTATTCCTCCCAAGGATGGGCCACTATTCCTCCCAAGGATGGGCCACTATTCCTCCCAAGGATGGGCCACTATTCCTCCCAAGGATGGGCCACTATTCCTCCCAAGGATGGGCCACTAATCCTCCCAAGGATGGGCCACTAATCCTCCCAAGGATGGGCCACTAATCCTCCCAAGGATGGGCCACTAATCCTCCCAAGGATGGGCCACTATTCTTTCCATTGACGGCAATGATGGGGCACTATTCCTCCCACTGATGGCAATGATGGGGCATTGTTTACGTCCACTGACACTAGGACCTTTTCTTCTCCCCCTGGCCATAGTCAGGCCACTGACGTTTGAAGGACAGTAAACTGGTCCTTTTTGTTTAGAAAGTTTGGAGACCCCTGATCTGTTAGGATAATTAATGATGGGTTTTTGACATGCATTGATTATAATGGGTCCATACTCATTTGCTCGACAAAGATACTGGCAAGTTTGTCTAAGTGGGATGAATACAAAAATGTGTGTCATTGCATCGGTGGCATGTACAGAAATGTGTGACATGCAATGGTGACCAGTACATAAATGTGTGGCTGTACAGGGGCAGCGGGTCTGGAAATGTGCAGTTATGCAGTGGCAGTGAATACAGAATTGCACATCAGTGCAGTGACAGCCAGTACAGAGGTGTGCTTTTTGGTGGTGTGTTGGTGAGTATAGATGTGTGCGTTGGTGGTGAGTGCAGAATTGCTATATCTTAAATGTGTAAAAATATTCACAGAAAAAAATAAATAAATATTGGTGATTAAAATAAAAAGAAACAAAATCTGGTACACGCGAAGATTGAGGCAACACTGAAGATAAGGTGTGCAGTTACACTAAAATTGGGCAACCTGATGCAACAAGTACCTGCCCATAGATTATGATGATGCTGTCTTGGAGTCTTGAAGCGATATTAAGCGTTCCTTTTTTTTTTTTTTTAAAAATAACAAGCATGTTCTACTTTCCTGCTCTGTGCAATGGTTTTTCACAGATCAACCCCTATCCTCCTCTTTCTCGGGTCCCCCGCTGGTGCTCCAGGTTCCTCCCCTTGACCAGTGCCCCCAGTAGCAAGCTGCTTGCTATGGGTCACTGGTGTGTGCTTGGCTCCACCCCTGCTGTCTCCTCACTGGCTGTGATTGACAGCAGTGAGAGCAAATGGCTCCCGCTGCTGTGTCTCAACCAGTGAGGGGAGGGAGACCTGGGACAGCTGAGACTGACATGCACATCTCCTGGATCAAGAGGGGGTTGGGGGGAGGAGCAGGACAAAGAAGGGTTTTTACCTTTTTATGTATAGGATGCATGAAGGTAAAAAAAATCTTCAGCCTTTACGACCACTTTAACCAAATCCCTTCCTTTGTCACCAGTTAGGGGTCTTGGGACTGCTGCTGACTCAGACCCTTGAACCACTATCCCACTTTCCCTCATCCTTCTCTTTTTTATTCTCTACCTTCTTTTTCTGTGGTTACTGGATGTTTACTGAATGCTTCCTCAACACTGCCTGGTCCTTGCTTACTCCCTGGGCTATGGCTCCAGTGGACCATCCAGATGTCGGTTCTATTTGCTTTTTCTAAACTATGTAATTAATCTGATTTTCACAGCTGTTGCCTGTTGGATCAATATTGGCCCCTTGAAGAGGGGCTAGTACTCTGTTGCATACTGTCAACAGTGTTTTCTTTTGTCCTTCTGCCTACGTGGAGAACTTTACTCTTCACATTATCTGTCCGATTGCTTGTGATGGCTTCTCTATCGTCCAATAAAATGTTTGAATTTAAAAAAAGAAACAAAAGAAAATAATTAGGAAAATAATAGTTGAGAGGAGACTAAGGAGTTAATTAGGGCTTATTAGAGTAAACTAGGGGTTAATAAGGCATTAAACAGAAAATAATTTTTTTTTTTTAAAACAACTTGTCCGGTTGCTTTAGCTGACATTATTTGAAGATCTAAGTTCAGCCCTTTGTTCTGCAGATGAATGAACAGAATGATACAAGTAACAAGATGTCATTTTATATCTTTATAATCCAGGTCTGGGGTGGTGGTGTTTATAAACACTGATTTAGACTACTGACCTCTCTGAGTATACAGTAATGCCAGCTTTATTAACCACTTGCACTCTAGAGGATTTACTCCCCCCCCCCTTCCTGACCAGGCCACTTTTTGCGTTACGGCGCTGCGTTACTTTAACTGACAATTGCGTGGTCACCCAAATTAGATTTTATGTCCTTTGGGGGCCTGTGTAGTACGCCCAAAGTCTGCAGCTACACAATTCCACAACTGTCTGTGTGCACAGTCATCTAAGGATATCTGTAAATGAAGCAAATGTTTGTCAGTATATTAAATTTACAATGTAATTTTATACAATATATGTATAAAAATTACAATTTTGCTATATGTTTCATTAATTGAAGCAATGGTTATGATTGTATTGAACCCAACACATTGACATTTTTGTTCAGTTTAATTAAATTAGAGCAGAGGTGAAGTTTTGTTACATGCAAGTGGAAATATCCAAATCCAATTACCAGAATGTTTAAATGTTTTAATTTGGTATTATGCTTTATTTTGCAGGGAATATAAATCTCAATTTGAAGAAAAAAAGATCTGGTATGAACACAGGCTTATTGATGACATGGTGGCACAAGCATTAAAATCTGAGGGTGGCTTCATCTGGGCATGCAAAAACTACGATGGAGATGTCCAGTCAGATTCTGTTGCTCAAGGTGAGAAATAAACTAAGAATATTTTGTATGGATAAATCTTCCCATTTTTTTGGCTAACTGTGCATTTCTGCACTTATATCTTAGTACATTTGATTACTTATTAAAACCAGATGAGAAAGCACAAACTTCGGTTGTATATTTAATATTTTTCATTTACATGGAGAAGCCAAGACGACGTGCACTAAAGGTGAGAAAATCAGTGGCTGAATTTCTGGTGCAATGCAATTTTCAACCATTTTTAGTCATTACAATGAATAAACAATAGGGAAAGAACAAATTGGCAATTTTTATATAATATCCACTTCACGCCCGCGGGCGTACCAGTACCTCAGCAGATTTTGAGTGGTCCCCCTCCCCAGGCTTGCACGCAAAGGTGGACACAAGCATCAGTCCCGCGATGGAATGTAAACGGCGATTTGCACCATACATGTGACGTATTGCTGCAAACATCAGATCGAGAGAAATAATTTTAGCATCAGCCCTCCTGTGTCAATCTAAAGTGGTAACCTGTATGAGCTTTCAAAACATTGCCTTTGGATAATTCAATGTGCACAGTTTTCCGCTGTTGCACAGGTGTGTGAGATTTTAAAACATATTTGGTATCTATTTACTCAGTGTAACATCATCTTTTTTATTATTTACCAAGCATTATTATATTGTGTTTTTGTGCATTAAAATTCAATAAATTGTATTTTTCCCCCAAAAAACTGTTTGAAAAAAAGCGAAACCCACCATTTTATTCTCTAGGGCCTCCGCTTTTCATTTGTCACCCTCTTCTCCCTCTTCTGAGCGGAATAAAGTTGTGACACCAGGAACATATCTTTGATGCGGACTTAGTCTTTTTAATATTGGAACTCTATATGCTGAGCACCTTTGGTCAATATGGGAGAATGTGATGCCGATATATTCCTTATTGATACCCTCTGAATAAAGGGGGCACAATGTGAGACCTGTAGAGTGTGATGTTTTTGTTTTGTTATGCTTTATTTGTTTGAATCGTCCACGTGCTTTTTGACCACCAGCCTTATTATTTAATGTATGAATTTAAACAAAAACCCACCAATCCTGGTTTAGTCTATAACTAGTCATTTTAGTTTGGTTTACAGTTAGATCTTTGATTGGGGACTCCCGGATTACGAACCATTTATAGACCTTGAATCTTCTTTTTTTTGGGAGGTTTAGAATTACTCCTAACCCTAATCAGAAATACTTGTGCATAAACATCAATACATATATGTGCAAACTAATATTCAATAATCAATGTGCCACAAAATGTTATAATCAAAAAATCATGTGCAGATCAATAAAAAAAAATGAAATGAATAGTGTCAAATCAATATTCCAGTCCAAAAAGTATGCAGATATACAGTATAATAAATTTAACTCCGTCCAAATGTGCAAAGGAATAAATCCAAATCCAGCAACAGTGAGAAAGTGCTGATTGTTGCACTGTTAGCACTTTCTCACTGTTGCTGGATTTATTGCTGATTTTTGCACTGTTAGCAAAGTGCTTCAGTGCTTGATGTGCAACTCTTGTGCAAAACAGCTTACCAGCAGCAAAGATCTGAAGAGTACACAAAGGTAAGTAACTATGCCAGCCAGCTCAAGATGTGATCCTTCTCATACAGATCAGACTCGAAGCTCCAGTTCCACACATCACTCACAATTATATGTAACAATTAAAATATAAATAGGAGAAGCCTCATTAAACTCAGAACGCAGTAAACGCTGTTAACATTTAATAATAGGATATTGAATCTACAAATGTAGCAGAATATGTACAGTAGTGTATCACACAGAATTCCTATTCAGGCACTGCCGTGAGCTCTGCCTGCCAGTGTGCAAAATGGGTGCCACAAGATCTGTTTTGCCCATCTTGTGATGTCATCACACATGCTAGCAGCCAGAGCTCACGGTGGTGCCTGGATCAGATAAATGCACCAGTTTCATTAATGTACACGGTCTGTTGCCACGATTCTCGCACCACCTGCCATTCCTGGCACTACTCCTGTTGCTCCTGGCACTGTTTCTGGTACACTTCAGCTCTCACTGCTGGAACTACTCTAGGTACACTCTTGGCCACTGACCATAGTTCCTGGTACACTCCTCCCCAGTCACACCTGGTTGATGGCACCATTCTTGGTATATTCTGTCTGTTGCTCCTAGGCACTGGCATAGTCCCTAGTACACTCCTGGCTGCTGTTCCTGGCCACTTATTCCTGATGAGCTCCATCTATTGTTCTGAACACTGGCACTGCTACTGGTACACTGTTTGCCAGACTCGCCTCCTCTTGGCCCTTACACCCAGGCACTGGCACACAAAGTTCACTTCATTGCTGACTCTGCTCCTACAGGCCTCACTGCTGGGCACAACCACTCCAGGTGCACTCCGTCTGCTCCGATCTTTTGTGGCATAGTCCAACAATCCTGGTACACTCCATTTTTCAAACTCTTCTGCTTCGAGTCCTCGCAGCCAGGTACATCCAAGTGTCTTTTGCTTGTCTCCTCACTAGTTGCCTGGCCATTCCACCATTGGTCCTATTGTATCTTCCTGCTCCATCTGCCAGAAAATGGAAAAGTGACCTGGGGGTGTGACGCATCCCTCTGAGGGAGGTCCCTTAGACTCCGCTTTTTGGCGAACACAGTCATAGTCTGCATAAGGTCCAGCTCGCTCTGTTTCATTCAGCAGAACAAGAACACAACATACACAAAGAATACCACTAGCTGTATGTCATGAACTGTGTATTCGGCGTTTGTTTGGAGTTCCATTTTAAGGGTTTAGGTTTTTCAAACTTCAAAGGTGCAAAATCAGAATCGGTGTCTTGCTGTAAAAGTGCCATGTGTTTTTTTTTAGAGCAGTTAGAAAGACAAAACAGTTGTATAATAAATATTATTTACACTGCTTTCAAAATGATATTCTTCAAATGTCAGTGCAGCTGCATTGCATTATCAGGACGTGAATTTGCCTACCATTGCAGTTTCTAAAATCTTGTGACTGCTTTCATTAAACCCTTTCTTCTCTTAATATAGGGTATGGTTCTTTGGGAATGATGACAAGTGTTTTAATATGTCCGGATGGCAAGACTGTGGAGGCAGAAGCAGCACATGGCACAGTAACGCGTCATTATCGAATGCACCAGAAAGGCCAAGAAACATCTACTAATCCTATAGGTAAGTAGAAACATAAATTTTATTGGCACGTCTGCATAATGTACATTTAACTTGTGATTTGACTCCTTATAGGAAAATCTGGCATCCTAGAATATAAGCAATGATTATACCAAAAACATTCCAACTGATTAATTTTATCTAGTAATTCCCTTTTATCTATAGCATATAGATAGACTGTGGCTTTTTTTTTTTTTTTTTTTTTTTTTATGGGGGCCTGTAAATAATAGAAACCCCAAAATGGAAGTTTCTTATTAAACCCTCCTCCTGGTGCTTTTGTATACATGACAATAATAAATAATCTCCCTAAAAACTAAATAAATTAATCACAGACTATTTTAAAGGGTGGTACTCCTTGCTATAGACTGAGACCAAGTGTACAAATAATTTTGCAAGAAAGGTTGCTAGTAAAACCCTTTTTATTGTCATGATTTGCATGAAAATAACTGAACGCTAGGCAGTGGTATGTAACTGTCAGTTCAGTAGTATGTAATACAGAGGGTAGTGCAGGCCATAGATGGGTCGAAAATCGGCCGATTTTTCGGCCGAAAATAAAATCGGCCGATTTTCGGATCGTTAGTGGGCGATTTGGTCGGCCATTTTTCGTATTTTGGCCGTTTTTTTTTTTCGGTAAAGTTGGAAAAAAATCGGACGATTTTGCCGATCGGCCGATTTTCGCGGCAATTAGTGGGCAAATCGGCTGATTTTTTTACCGATAAAAAATCTGCGCATGAGCAGTGACCTGCAAGAGGAAGACAAAAAGAAGAAGAGAAGAAGAAGAAGAGGAAGAGGATGAAGAAGAGGAAGAGGAGGATGAAGAAGAGGAAGGATGATGAAGAAGAGGATGAGGATGAGAAGATGGAAGGAGGATGATGAGAAGAAGAGGATGAGGAAGAAGAGGATGAGGATGAAGAAGAGGATGAGGATGAAGAAGATGAATGAAGAGGAGGATGATGATGAAGAAGAAGAAGAAGATGATGATGATGAAGAAGAATTCCAGTCCAGCATAAAGTGTCTCTGCAGAGAGCTCCGCTATTTCTGACAGTTCTCTGACAGTTCCTTGACATTTACAGCGGTTGAAACATTGTATCTATTTGTTTCCGAATAAAAACATCTGTATCCTAAATGGAAACAAATAGATACATTGTTGCAACTTCTATAAATGTCAAGGAACTGTCAGGGAACTGTCAGAGAACTGTCAAAGAAATAGCAGAGCTCTCTGCAGGGACACTTTTTGCCGGCTCTAGACGGGTAGAAAATCGGCCGATTTTTTTTTTTTTTTTTTTTTTTTTTTTTTTTTTACCATTGATGGTAACGTCGGCCACTTGAACAACCGATTTTTCGTTTTTTAAAAGAAAAATCTGCAGTTTTTCTCCCCATCTATGGTCTGCATAGGAGTAAGTAACACACAGTGGAGAGGTAGGAGTAATTGACACAAAGTGCAGGGGTAAGAAGTAATTGACACAGTACTGAGGTCAGGTTAAGTAGCAAAGCGTTGAGAGGTCAGTTCTATGTAAAACAGAGCAAAGTGATCAGGAGTAAGTAAAGCAAAGCGCAGGAACACAGAGTGCAACAGTCAGTAGTATGTACCACACAGTGCAGAGGTCAAAAGGAGATACAAACATTCGATAGTTTATTATTTTCAGCTAATGATGGGAATGGGTAATGGTATAAATATGGGTTTCTTTTTATCATAAGGCAAAAAATACAAGTCATATTATTTTTATTCTGTTGTACGTACAACCCTGTTGAACTACTGAATGGTAAGAACACATACACACTATATTATGCTATAAAATATCTGTTTGTGACAGTACAACAAAAGTTCTGTATTGTCCCTTGGGTTTTAACCTCCCTAGCGGTATTCCCGAGTGTAGCTCGGGTAAAATGTCAGTACCAAAAGCGGTAACCCCGAGCTACACTCGGGCTTACCATGCGGCGCTGCACAGGGAGTCCCTGCAGCACTTACCTTGTCCTTCGCTCCCGCGATGCGTCCCCTGGACATCTCCTCCGGCCGATGCCGGCATCCGGCTTCTGTGTTCCGGTCCCTGTGACGTCGGGACATACGGGCGCCGGCAGGAAATTTTGAAAATTTTAAATTTCATTTTTTCCAAACAAATTTTACATAGCAAAACATTGCTGTTTCAACCCATTTCACATACATTTTGTCCTGTGCCCCGCCTGCATTTTGTCTGTTCTTTCTGCCTGGAAACTGAGAAAAGTCCATGGCGTCCAAAAAGCATCCCTTTAGGTCAAAAGCGGTTTTAGACCAGCTAGAGAACAGCGATAGTAAATCAGAACTACTTGCAGAATTGAGTGATAATGATTCGTGGGGAAATTCGTCATCAGACACTGAAAACGATTCTGCGACTTTGCTCAGCAATGTGCGAACTTGGTGCTCTATTTCGAATTGCAGTGTTTTTGGTTTGATTATATTATTGAATTAAATGTATTATTATTATATTATTTTTTATGATTATTTATTAAATTATTAATCATTTCGTGTTTTAAATTTTATCCTACCCGGGATGTTTAATAGACTCTCTTGTTCGGACAGATTTCAGTGAGTTATTCCTAAAAATTACAGCCTACAATAAAAAAAACTACATATTTCCATGCAAAATAATGGTACCGCTTTCAGCACCAAAAATCTGAAATAATCAGACCGCTAGGGAGGTTAATTCCAGTGTGAACTACTATAATTATTGATTTATTTTGTATTACAGAGATATATATTTTTTTTTAGTTTTCTATCCAATGTCTTTCATTTATTGTGATCTGTTACCTTTGCTAGCTTCCATCTTTGCTTGGACGCGTGGCTTGGACCATAGAGCTAAGCTTGATAACAACATTGACCTGAAAACCTTTGCTACAGCTTTAGAGGAAGTTTGTGTTGAGACAATAGAGGCTGGTTTTATGACTAAAGACCTTGCTGCTTGTATCAAGGGCCTACCCAAGTAAGTATTCTTCACAGCTATGCTATTTTTATTTGTAAATGATTGCTCATAAAATATTTAATTTTTGCTTTGTTACTTTCTAGTGTGCAGCGATCTGATTACTTGAATACATTTCAATTCTTGGATAAATTGGCTGAAAATTTACAGCTGAAGCTCTCTGCTCAACCTAAATTGTAAAAGGTGCACTAAGAAGAAAACTACACTCAGGATAATTCTTCATGGGTTTACAATACCTAATAAGACTTCATTTTTGTCCCATCGCAAATCATCAGTCCTCCCTATTACTCTGTATTTAGGTTTTATACAATTTCTGGATACATGTGTAGCCATTTCTATTGTAGATATTCTGATAAGCTATTGGTCAATATGGATGAGGCAAACAAGTCATGGTATAGTTGAACATATTCACTGTTATATTCTGAAGACTTGGTTCTATAATATCAAAAGTCAGATGCTGCTAATATGGTATAAAGAGCTCAGACAGCAGCTCATACACATGGGGGTCATCTCAATGCCTGTAATATCTGCTAAAGAATACATTAGCAGTGTTCTGCTGTGGGATCTAGCTTGCATTTAGGAAACCTGTTGTGAAAGAAAATGGAGGCTGCTATTCCTGATGTTCTTCTGAAAATGCTGATTTCCTGGCTGTCACTTCAGTACTTTCTTGGCCCTAGCATGCAGGAAATGGAAGTTGGTACTACGAGGCTTGTTCTGTAAGTCAGAGAGTAGTGAAGCCACTGCATCAACTTGACAAGCCCAGCAATTACCATTTCTCGTAGAAGATATACATTGTGGCAGTCTATATATTTCTCTCAGCATGTGCTTGGGGTGTAAAAAAAAAAAAAAAAAAAAAATGTACACCAAACACAGCACCAGGATCTGCCAAGTGGAGTATAGCTATTCACAGTCATCCAACAAAATGATCTTCCCATAAATACTGATTTTACAGTTACAGCTGTATTTAGTATAGATGGTTTTAAGAAAAGCGATGTACATTTTTAGGCACATATACATCATGGAATAATGTAAAAGCAACTATTCTAGTAACATTGGCACAGAAACAGCCACTTTCCTAAATTCTATAAAAATCCATTGGAAAAGAAAGAAAATCAAACCACCCAGCTTGTCAGCATTCTAGGTTGTCTGGATAGCTCTGCAGTAGCTTAGGTTTGTCAATGCATAGCAGCTCCAGGATTGCTGCTTATCATGTGAACCTGGCCACTATGTACTTTGACTAAAAAAAGAATCAGTGGAGGAGACAAGAGCCAGGTTGTGGTGCTTATTTTTAATTACTGAATATAAGTCCTATGTCCAGAAGCTGTTTTTTTCAGATCTATAACAATCTACTATAAACTCCCCTTCAGTGCATAGAAAAGCATTTATATATTATATGCATGGTGCACTAGACACTTCATATAGAGGGGAAAATTTTAAATATGACATTTTGTGATTTGGCTTTTTGCCTTAAAGTGTTAGTTCAGTGTAGACAAGCAAGAAAGCAATGCAGCGTTAACCAAAGTAGAATCCCCTGTTATAGGTGTAGGCCATTTACATACGTCATGAAGCCTGACTGGAAAACCTCTAGGACATTGCTAAGAGAAGCCTAATGTTACTGCTCATCTCCACCATCACAGGAGTGAGATCTTAAATGCTGAGCTTGAAGCTACTGTATAGGGAAAAGAGCACATGGGAGGAGGTTTGCATCAGAGAAAACGCATTCCTGTGAAGGTGAACAGTAACAGCTGGGATGCTCTTGGCAACGCCATAGAAGTTTTCCAATCAGGGTTCATGGGGTATGTAAATGGCCTACACCTATAGCAATCAACTTTGCTCAAAGCTGCACAGCTTGTTTTTATCTACACATATTCCATATCTGCATAGGCAGTTTTTTGGTAAAGGCGAACTTTGTCTTTCAAGAAAGACCTGTTGTGAAAAAAATGATATGTACCTCAAGCACTGGAATTGTAGAATTCCTTTGAAAAAAATTCAAGTTGGCTGTTATCCTGACACTTGCTAGAGTTACCAACCTGGAACAAGTCTACAGGTCTAGAAGATCAGATGTCCTTGTGTGCATGCTTGTTTTGGAGCAGTGACCCAACGTGTTGAGGCCAAAGGATCAGCATTACAGCCAGAGAGCTAGCATTTGCAGACATTGAAGTTATCAGTGGCAGCCCCCACACATTTTCCTCATGACAGGTTTATTTTAGGTAGTATGTTCTAGTGCAATATGAATTTTTTTCCATTTAATTTTTTTTTTTTTTTTTTTAACATCTTGAGAATTTGCTGTAGTTCTTATTGAACTTCAGTGCTCTGGAAATCAGAAATCATTTTAAGCCATACGTTTTAATATTGCAGCACAGACTTACTGAAATATGCAGGATTCAACAAACTCTACCTCATTTTTTCAAATAACAGTCCTAACACCTACTAATACTTAAAGTAGAACTACAGGCAAAACTTTTTTTCCATTTTGGATAGAGTAAGGGAGGGCTCTTATCAGTTTATATTTTGCCATCTGTGTCCCATTGGGGAGATTTCCCTTCACTTCCCATCCCAAGGCCAAAACAGGAAGTGAGAGATAATCCCTCCCAAATACAGGCATGCTGTAGGGACCCCCCATCACCACACAACTAGTGTCCCCATTGGAAGATTTCCACTCCATTACTTTTCTGGAATCAACTCAAAATTCTGGATTTTCTTTTATTTTCAATGTTAATGGTAAATAGGATGAATAGAGAGGGTGAATCTCCCTAACAGGAACACAGACCGCAATAACAACTGCTAGGTGTTCTAATCTCTCTTCACTCTATCCAAAGCTAAAAAAAAAAAAACGTTTTGCCTTTAGTCATACTGCAACAGACGGTTCTGTGATCTTCCACCTCACCGGTTCTGGTTGCAACGACAACATTGCTGCCCTTCTTGTTGACGTCATCACACCTTCATTGCAATCAGTGCAGGACTCCTGTCATCAGGAAGGAACCTATTAAAAGCACCTGCCCACAGTGTAGTGCTGAAAAAAAATGGAGGAATGGGGCTCCAGATGTGGGGCCATGGATTAAGGCAAGTTTTAGTGTGTTAGAACCTTTATTTAAAATAAAATGTGGTAGAAATTGCTTAGAAGCAGCGACAAGGGGAAGGCAATCTTGATTTATTTTAGGTGGTCATAGTTCAGCTTCAAACTAAATTCTCCCATTTACATATGAGCAAAGATTCTATCAATGTCTTGGTCTAATGTCACAATCTGCTGTGTTTTGTAAAAACCAGAACCCATTGTCTGTTTTTACAGAAATTCATGTTATATTTTTTAATAAAGCAGATTCATAATGAAATGTGCCCTTTTTATTATTAATGCCTAATATGACCACCATAGCTGTCTTCTAGGGAATTCCTGGAATGTTAATTTATACCTAAGCAGTACCCAGAAAAAGGTACCTTTTTGTCTTCAGCTCCTGAAAAACAGCAGTGCACTCCCTGTGCCTAGGCACTCCTGTTCTGTACTATTGCCAGCTGCATATCCACTAAGTGAGCACACTATGCCATTGATTGCTGTTCTCATTCATTGTGATGCCATTCCTGTGCTGCTCACCATTCTCTTTCCTGGAGTGAAATCGAAATCCAAAAGGACCTGCAGTGCCCAAATCGCTCAATTTCTGCTTTATCCATTCTGTGAATGTGTTCCTGCACCTTGCCTGCTGTTTCTTGAGTATTCTCTTACTAGGCCTCAGGGCACCAGAATTCAGGAAGGCAGCTCTGGCACGAGGAAGCTCAGATACACTATATTGCCAAAAGTATTGGAACACCTCTCCAAATCATTGGATTCAGGTATATAAAATCAAGCACATAGGCATGCAGACTGCGTCTACAAACCAGGGGCGGCCTGACCATTTGGAAACTCGGGCACTGCCCGCGGGCCCAGGGTCAGTAGGGGGCCCCATGAGATGCCCCTGGTACCTTTTTCATAGGCTTTTTTGAGTTTGGGCAAGGACACAGGGGCCCCATGATACCCTGTTGCCCGGGGGCCCCATGAGTTGTTAGTCCGCAACTGCTACAACCATTTGTGAAAGAATGGGCTGCTCTCAGGAGCTCAGTGAATTCAAGTGTGGTACTGTGATAGGTTGCTACCTGTGTAACAAGTCCACCTGTGAAATTACCTTGCTACTAAATATTCCAACTGTTAGTGGTATTATAACAAAGTGGAAGCAACTTGGAACAACAGCAACTCAGCCACAAAGTGGTAGGCCACGTAACATGACAGAGCGGAGTCAGCGCATGCTGAAGCGCAATGCACAGAAGTTGCCAACTGTCTGCATTGCCAATAGCTAAACTCCAAACTTCATGTGGCCTTCAGATTAGCATAACAGTGTGTAGAGAGTTTCATGAAACAGGTTTCCATGGGCAAGCAGCTGCATCCAAACCTTACATCACCAAATGCAATGCAAAGCACCGGATGCAGTGGTGTAAAGCACACCGCCACTAGACTCTTGAGCAGTGGAGATGTGTTTCCTGGAGTGACGAATCACGCTTCTCTGTTTGGCAGTCCAATGCATGTGTCTGGGTTTGGCAGTTGCCAGGAGAATGGTACTTGCCTGACTGCATTGTTCCAAGTGTAGAGTTTGGTGGAGGGGGATTATGGATTATGGTGTGGGGATGTTTTTCAGGGGTTGGGCTTGACCCCTTAGTTCCAGGGAAGGGAACTCTTAAGGTTTCAGCATACCAAGACATTTTGGACAACTTCATGCTCCCAACTTTGTGGGAAGAGTTTGGGGATGGCCCCTTCCTGTTCCAACATGACTGTACACTAATGCACAAAGCAAGGTTAATAAAAATATGGATAAGCAAGTTTGAGGTGGAGTAACTTGACTGGCCTGCACAGAGACCTGACCTCAGCCCGATAGAACATCTTTGGGATGAATTGGAGCGGAGACTGCGAGCCAGACCTTCTCATCTGATATCAGTGCCTGAGCTCACAAATGAGCTTCTGGAAGAATGGTCAAACATTCCCATAGACACACTCCTAAACCTTGTGGACAGCCTTCCCAGAAGAGTTGAAGCTGTTATAGCTGCAAAGGGTGGGCCAACTCAATATTGAACCTTACGGACTAAGACTGGGATGCCATTAAAGTTCACGTGCGTGTAAAGGCAGGCATCCCAATACTTTTGGCAATATAGTGTATGTTCCTCTACCAGCTGACCACTGCCACACAGAAACAGTGCTGAACAAAGCATGGTAAGTCAGGAACGGAAGAAGGATCAGCTTGCAGGAACACCACACAGTCAGTACTGGTGACTAGTCTTGGTATCTGCTTGCCTTTTTAGGCACAGTTTTTTTTTTTTACATTTCAGATTCTTTAAAAGGTAACTCCATATGTGTGGGAAAAAAAATAATAAGTAATTGTGACAAAAGCCATATTGTAATTTGTTATTAAAAAGTACATTTCCAATCTGCAGTGCTGTAATTTTCTGTAAAATGCATTATGGCAACCTGGAGGCATTCTGTACAGTTGGTGTACGAAACACCCCCAGAAATGTAATTTCCAAATTGTGTGATTGGCTGACCAATTTTCCTAGAAGTCTGCACTAAGATCCAAGTCTGATTTTAGGAATCCCCACAAGAAAAATGTCATTTCTGGCGAGATGCTCCTAGAGGGTTAATCACTTCTAAAGGGATGCAGACCCAGCTTTCCTCAGAGCACTGCAAGTGCATCAGCTGATCAAATCACTCAGATTCAGAATCCAAAAGAGATAGAATAAACTTTTTTTTTTCAGAATAGAAACAGAGAGGACTTTGCTACAAAGTTTGTTAAATGCCATTGCAATTGATTAACCAGAGGGGATTAGTTTTTTTTTGGCAACAAAAGATGGAGTTACTCTTTAAAGACTGTTACAGACTTTGCATAGTTACCCCTTAAACTGACAGTCTTCAAGTTGAGGCTCCTTGCGACTTTCATGATATCTCTACTATCAAGACAAAAAAGTGAAGGTTATTTCCTCAGTCAAGACACAGCTTGACCCAAAGCTCCCAAAAAGGAGTAGGAGCTTCTCTTGGGTGACAAGTGTTGCAGTTGGCAGTGACATTCTCAGCAATACCATACCACATGTATGCTTTTGTTGAAAGGACATGCTGGAAAATCAGCATCCAATCAGCACTTGGAGCCAATTGCTGCGAGTGCTGATCAATGTATTCTGATGGAGGGGGGGTTGAATGGAAAACAACTGACAGTGTGTACCCAGCTTAAGAAGCATTCGGTTAGCTCTGTCATAACTGCAAAGCCAAGGATATTTACCAAGTATTTATTTTGTAGATTAGTAGGCCCTATCGGATCAATGTGGGTGGAGTTACTCATGAATATGTTATGTTTATGTCACAAAACATTTTTGTGCACCTAAAACTGATCTGTCACAATTACAGATACAAAAATAAAAAGGTATATTAAATGTCAAAACCCTTTTTCTCCCCATTATAGTATGTGTAAAAGGTGTATTGTTTTTTTTTAATTGCAATTTGTGTCCGTATTGCAGAGATTCTTCCTCTCTATTTGTCCTGGTAACCATCGACACTGGTACAGAAAGCGATCGGAAATCAAAATTTTAAGGCAGTCACTAGAACAGAAGTTGAGTGGAAATCTTCCAGTGAGGACATTTGTTCTTGGACAACCTTTTAAAAGATTTTCTCTTACTTTGGAGATTTTCTCACTTCCTGTTTTACCTCCAGAGCAGGAAGTGAAAAGAAGTTTCTCAAATGAGGCTCTCAAAAAAAGAAAACATTGCAGGGATTTCAATAATTCTATACTTCTACCAAAATAAAGAAAGTGTTTTGGCTTTAGATACATTTTAATTACAAAATAGGCCACCTCTGTTGACTTTCACTGGAGAAACCCTTATCTAGTTACTGAAAGCCTGGAAAGACTAAGGGTAATTACAATTGCAAATAAAAAAGTAATTGCTAAAAGCTCATGTTACAATAGTGCAAGGGAAAAAACAATTGAGATACTAATCAGCTAATGTTTATGAGGAGATGCTAAACTATTACATTCCTTTTTTTGAAAAAGGCGACACGCTACACGCGTTTTCTTATACAAACATTTTATTAAGAAATACAGAAAACAAACTTCACTTCTGCTAACAACAGTAATATAAAACCAACTGACTATCAAACACACTGCCCTTCTCCAAGAAGTAAAGCAGAGCATTATAGCACTGCTTTGCACTTGTTTTTCATCCTCACTTCCCCCCGAGAAAATTAAGCTATGTGTGCTATAAATTTTAAATATATGTACACAATATACAGCATCTACAAAATTCACCTATATGTTTGGGAATATGCAGTAACACAAATGTAAGTACTAAATATAGATGTATAAAAAGTGGACATGCCTAATAAAAGTAACACTTGTAGAAGGTATTTTGCGTTGCAGGGCTATTAAGGAAACATCATTGGCAGTTTAACCATTAAACAATCTAGGGCTGTTAAATACCAAATAACTGATACAGGTATGATTTGAGAAGCAAAAGCACTAACCTAGGGACTTGTGTAGGGATAAAGCTGGCTGGTGTCAGACCCAAAGTATCCAATTCCAAGCTAAAAGACAACTTTTTGGACAGGTGTCATTTTACTTGCATTTATACAGCAACTTACTACATTTTCTACTGTTAAAAAATGCTAAGGGCCAGTGTGGAGAAGCTTTTGTTTGCTTGCTTCAGAACTGATTCTTATCCTATGGAAATGCTAAATCAGCTGAAGCTGGTCAACAGCACCTGCAGTGAATTCCAAGTGAATGACTCAACTGATTGCCTTTGCAATCAGCTGCATTTGCCCATCTAAGCCTATCAACCCAGGCACCAAGGATGTTTGAGGATTAAAGCCGCGAAAACACCGGCTGAATATCAGCCACTATCAACCACTACAGTAGAAATCGGCTGACATTCGGCCCGTGTGTACCGCTGCTTGTCGAACAGAAGCCAATCTCACCACTGGCTTCTGTTGAATGTGCATGTTTGAAAATCTGTAGCCTGACCGGCATCCAATCAGCACTTGCAGCCAATGGCTGGTGTTTAGTGGGGGAATGCTCCTATATTCTGTGTAACTTAAAATGCAGCATGGCATCTCAGAACTACGCTATCTAAAAAGCAGTTTGGGCAGGCCCTGCTTTGGTTAAAAAAACGCCTGCTTGTACTTTTACTAATGAAATGACATAAACTGTTTAATTAATGGCAATCTGTGAGCAACTTCAGAGTAAAGATGAATATTGTCAGCCTCTTGGGCTGAATGCTAGTGGCAGTCCAGTGGTGTCATCACTTTAATGGATGCTGCACAGTCCTAGCCACACTGTATAGCCCCCAGCCTAAACAAGAATCCGAGAATGGAATTTGCCGTTTCCTATAGGATAGATTACTTTTAAAGGTTAAATGCACATGTATTCTGCCTCCTTTCCCACACACATCTTCCCAAAAGATCAAACTGCAAGATCCTAAGTAGAGTGCTCGGCATTGCTTCTCCAAAGTCTTCTAGATTCTTCATCGCTCACATGCACACTTCAGAAAGCTTGAAAGAGGCAGCATAGGGACTTTTCTGTTGTGTAAATAAATAAAGTCCAGAGCGCACAAGTGCAAGTAGCTTGATGCAGAACCTTGAAGATTTCAGAGGAAAGGCACTGGGCTACCATGTAGTGAATGTGTCATAAGAGGTAAGTTACATGTATATTTAATCCATTACAAAAATCCTGGCAAAATGAATAGTGGGGAGTGACCAAAAGTGACATTACTAACACCAGGATTTTTTTTTTTATAAAAAAGGATTTTATTTAAAAAAAAAATAAAAAAAATGAGCAGTTATTTTGTAGCCCAAAGAAAACCGGCTGATTCATTGTTTCATTTTCATAGATATAAAACTGATTTGTTAACTTCACTTTTCCTCCCTTTTTCCTTTCTCTGTCCTCCTAAGGCAGGTACTATGTGAATATTAATCTCTGGCCAGCGAAAAATGCTGTCAGCCTGCTCATTCGCAACACACTAAAATCAATGTAATACTGATGAGATGTTTGTTGACATGTAAAACTGCCTATGTAGCCACAGCCTTAAATATATGTCCTAATAGCTGGACTAAAATGAATAAATATTTGGATAAGGTGAAAGCCAAGTTATATGCTATTAGCACCATTGCTTGCTGGCAACAGTGGCTCTGTATTCAGAGGATCTCAACTAGCTGATGCTGTTGGGAGTACTGTTAGACTTGTAAAGGAATTTCATGGAAAAAAAAAAATACCTCTAATGCTGAATACACCACATTTGGAGGACTTCTGGGGATGCCAAAAAGCTTAGCTGTAGTCATGCTAGATACTACTGTCAGCATCGTCAGACTCTGCTGCTCGGAGTTCCAGCACTCACAGAGTGAAGGATAGTGCTATTTACTCCAGCCCCCCTTCCTCATCAATTCAGAAAACATTTTCAATTCTATTCATAGAATACAAGGCATTTTGTGACTGGACAAAGGGAAAAACCTGCTGTTCATCTGTTTATCCTCTCCTCTTGTCCATCTTCAATACAATATGTTTTATGAATAAATGAGGGGAGAGTAAACATTATCCCTCACTGTAAAAGCACCAGAACTCAGAGCAGCTGCACCTGAAGATAGGCCGACAGTAGTATCTGATATCAATATAAGATTTTCAGCACCCCCAGCAGCCATCTACACACAGTAAATTCAGCATTAGCGGTGACATAGCTAGGCAAAGAAATAAAGGATTTAAAAAGAAAAAAAGTTTTCTGCTGGAGTTACACTTACTGAACAAAAAAGTGCTCTGTAATTAAATAGTGGACTACCATTGTTCAAAGAAAAGTTATGTTGAGCCCTTAATTTGGATTTTATTTTGTACATTACACCATTCTCACTGAACGAAAACCTATGGTAAAGCAAAATGCACAACTGTAATTGAATGAAAAACATGGAATGTATACAACATCAAATATAAAAGGTATGTGTTGACATGACCAAAGAACAAGTTGTATATACATCCTTTAAAAATGATCTTAATAAACCAATTAATTTCCTTCCATAAAAACACAGTTAACACCAACCAGCAGGTTCCAGGCACATTCTCTAATATTTTCCTCCTTAATAATACTTTTCTTACATACTCGTAGGGCATTCTTCAGACTTTGTTTTTTTCTTCCTACTACCTCCTTTTTTCCCCTTTGCTTTGGCAATAGGCAAACTTAGGAATTCAGTATCCGTGTGCGTGTCTCCACGTCGTAGTTTTCTTTGGAGAAATAGGGAGGGGGAAAAAAACAAAGATATTTCTGTTCTGATACATACTATTTAAAGAGGACTACACAATGGGAAGATGGCATAACATGTTTTTCAATAAATAACCATAAAAGATGGCGCACAAGTAAATATATGCTGGGTTATGTGGCACAGAATTGGCAAGAAGCATAAAAGTCCAGTTCATTCCATAAAGGGTTAAACATACTCGCTTCAGCTCCTCTGATACTGAAAAGATCTCTGAATGAAAGAGGGCGCCAATCTGAGGTTAGTAGTAAACAAAACGTGAACCGCCAGAAGGTTTTACCCCTTTCATGACAAGACCATTTATTCTATTCAGCACCGTGCTACTTTAACTGGCAATTGCGCGGTCAGGCAACACGTCATGTACGCAAATGAATTTATACTATTTTTTCCCCACACAAATAGGGCTTTCTCTTGGTGGTTTTTGATCATCATTGAGTTTATTTTTATTATACAAAACAAAAAAAAGACTGAACATTTTGAAGAAAAAAAAAATTTATATATTCTGGTAGAAAACATGTCCAATAAAATCAAATTTCTTAATAAATTTAGGCCAAATTGTATTCCGCTCCATGTCTTTGGTATAAAAAAAATCCCAATAAGTATATATTAATTGGTTTGTGTAAAAGTTATAGTGTCTACAAACCATGGTATGTACAGTGTATTTGAAAATGGATCAATACTGATGTAATGGTGGCCTCTCTCATTTCCTAAGTCCCTTAACCGCCTCCCGCCCGCCATATAGTAATATGACGGATGCAAGGTGGTCCTCCCATTCTAACCACACATGCACGGCTCCGGGAGCACGCAGTGCGGCAATCGGCGGTGCGCTGTGTCCCTCGGACACAACGGATCACCGATCCACGGAAAGAGCCAAAGATGTCGGCTCGGTCATGTGATCAGCTGTGTCCAATCACAGCTGATCACATGTAAACAGGGAAATGCCGGTTATCGGCATTTCTCTCCCCACGAGCTGTCACGCTGACAGCTCGTAAGGAGAGGAGAGCCGGTAATCGTCATTCCTCGGAGGGGACATGTAAACAGATCATCAGAACACTGATTATCAGTGTGCCCTGATGATCTGTGTAGCCCCAGCAGCGACACCTGTCAGTGTCCATCAATGCCAGCTCTCAGTGCTCATCCATGCCACCTGCCAGTGCCCATCAGTGCCACATATAAGTGCCCATCTGAGCTGCCTTTCAGTGTCACCCATCAGTGCAACCTATCAGTGCCACCTATCAGTGCCACCTATCAGTGCCACCTATCAGTGCCCGTCAGTGCCGCATCAGTGCCCGTCAGTGCTGCCTATCAGTGCCGCCTAACAGTGCCAGTCAGTGCCGCCTATCAGTGCCATATATGAGTGCTGCCTTTCAGTGCCCATCAGTGATGCCTGTCAATGCCCATCAGTGCCACCTACCAGTGCCTCCTCATCAGTGCCTATCACTGCCACCTATCAGTGTCCATCAGTGCAACCTATCAGTGCCCATCACTGCAGCCTCATTAGCGCACATCAGTGAAGGAGAAAAATCACTTATTTACAAAATTTTATAACAAAAACTAAGAAAAAAAGTTTTTCAAAATTTTCAGTGGTTTTTGGTTTGTTTAAGAAAAAATAAAAAACCCAGAGGTGATTAAATACCACCAAAATAAAGCTCTGTCACAAAAAAATGATAAAAATTTCATATGGGTACAGTGTTGCATGACCACGCAATTGTCATTCAAAGTGCAACAGCGCTGAAAGCTGGAAATTCACCTGGGCAGGAAAGGGGTATAAGTGCACTGTAGGCTAGTGGTTATAATGCCAGGACAGTGCATGCCCCTTTTTTTGAAAGTAGACAGTCCAAGGTATTTAGTAAAAGGCACACAGAGTTTCTTGACATTATAATTGTCTTTCAAGTGAAGAAATTAAATAACATTTGTTTTTTCCACATACTGTCACGAGTGCAGTACAGTGTCATCATATGGCTTGTGTGGCAGTACGTTCAAAAATAAATAATTTTTAATTCAATATTTTAAACATTTTGTTTCCTTTTTTCTTTTACATACTTTCATCAGAGTAGTTCTGTGTCACCATAGTAACACTGTGCTACTTTGGGGGGGCGGTGATCAGGGATTTTTGTTTTTTACACTTTGATAGCTGTTACAGTGATGATCACTGTAACAGCAATGTTTTGAACTATAATGAATGGGTTACATTCAAAACAGCTGTTTTTACTATTGAGTGCTGTTGACCAGAACGATCACATGGTACAGGGTGCTATGATTGGTCCAGGTACCATGTAATACTTGTGGGTCAATCACAGCATCAATATAGAAATTCTAGTTATGAATTAAATTAATTCATAACAGCTTTGTTGACATTGTGATCATGGCGGCCGGGTACTGTGAACCGCAAACCACTGTGTCCTCCAGTCCCTTGGCTGGATGATGTACATTATCTAGCTTGCCTGTGCTGAAGTAATGTATAACAACAAAGTTGCAACGCACATGTGGCGGTTAAAGGAAGTGAAAGTCACAAATCAATAGTCTCTGGCTAAAATCTCTGCACCCAGGGCCAGTCAGTACAGTCCAGAATGTGTGGGGTCGGATTGGATGAGCGGCCTTGGCAACCAGGAAGTGATCGGGTGCCGTGGAACACAGAGCTGACTGGAAGGGATGTCAGCGCCAGGGCCCAAATGAGGGGTGCAGCTACGTGTTTCAGAGCTGCCCAGCTCCTTTGTCAAGAACTTAATTTAACTACCACATGTGAGTTGCCACTTTGTTTTCATATATATAGAAGTTTTGCTTACTACTACACTCAGATTGGCACCCCCTGCTGTCTACTTTCATAAAGTGTTTCCCACTGCGACCAGTTTGCTTTCTATTATAGTATTTGTGAACATACTGCATTTAAAGGTCATTGTAATACAAGAAATAAAATGACATGGGTCAATGGCAGGACTATGCCCCACAGCAGGGTGGGTAGGTTGCATTATGTGACAGCAGGCGAGCTGGCTTACACCACAAACACAGCAGAGAAGTATCGTCCCTGTTGTGTGTGCTGCATACCAGAACCAGCTGCAATTTTGAAAGTGCCTTCCAGCTAGAGTCTTGTTAAAACTGCAGCTGGTTCTGGAACACAGCACATAGACAGTGAAGTTACTTCCATGTTGTGTGTGATGTAAGCCTGCCTGCTGTGTCAACTAATCTTGCTCACCTGCTGTGTAATGTAAAACTGCTCACCTGCTAACCTGCTGGTGACATAACCCCACCACTGCCCACCCACTGTATGTGACATAACCCCACCACTGCCCACCCACTGTATGTGACATAACCCCACCACTGCCCACCTGCCAACCTGCTGGTGACATAACCCCACCACTGCCCACCCACTGTATGTGACATAACCCCACCACTGCCCACCTGCCAACCTGCTGGTGACATAACCCCACCACTGCCCACCCACTGTATGTGACTTAAGCCACCGATGGGGAAGCTCCCCGCTGTGTGTGTAAATAAGCCTGCCCCCTTAATCAACAATAGCTAGAAAGGGGCATGTGGCTGCACAACTGACCATGGAGGATTTGGGCAAGCTATGCATGGGCACAGCCTGTAAAGTGGAACTAAAACCTCCAAATTTTACAGCCAAGGAAGCTACCATCTTATCGTCTGTTTGATCTGCAGTTCTCATGTACTGCACATGTGATCAGTTATGACACGAGCCATTTGATGGCTTGACAGTTTGGTTGAGAGAAAAAGCAACTGTCACGGTTTATCACTCAGGGCATGCCTTGAATGTAACCGTTTTGGGAAACTTAAATCGATGGGCTTAGTTCCACTTTAACTCCCAGCACAGTGCTTCCACACTTGTCATGGTCAGTTTGAAACAGGAACCCAGAACAACCAGCAGGATCACCAGGTGGTTTAAAGTGATAAAATAAATATCCTGTGGGAGGTTGCAGACTCAGCCTTTAGCCCTGGTTCACATCGGTGCGACCTGTCATGTGATTTGACAGTTTCAAATTGCATGACAAGTCAAACACATTTGTTGAAAATGGAGCCATTCAAATTGGTGTGACTCAGACTTTGAGGTGCTGCACTGATTTAAAAAAAAAAAACTTTCCGCACCATTTTTTGCGTTTTCAGGTGGGACTTACATAGACATCTGTGCATGAAGTCGCACATATGTCAGCCAAGTTGCATTGACATGCGGCTTTGAAATCGTGGGATTTCAAGTGAAGTTGCACAATTTCAAAGTCAGATTCAGTGTGAACTGGGGTTTAATCTGCAAGTGGAGAAGAGGAAGTATGGACTGCAGGGCAAGTAGGGGCTCAGAAATGAGAAGGGTCTGTGGCTTCAGTGTTACCTGTACCTCCTCTATGGAATTTGGGCTTCTATCTGGGGTGGAGCTTCTGGTGGGTGTTCTGCTTTAAATCAGTGCACAGCACCCTAACTTTTACCCAAAATGTATAAATGGCTCCAATGCAATTAAAACAATGTGTGAACCTTGTGATGTTAAGTGTATAACGTGTTTGTGTGTGTCTGAAGCCTTTTTCTGAGCTAGAAAATGAGTTCAAGCACCTGCTGGAATGCAGTAGGTAACATGTCCACTTTTTCTCTCCTCTGCCTTTTAGAAGTGAACCTAATCATTTGGGATGAACCTAAAAAATTGCTTAATTATATTATTTTGCAAAGAACCTGTTATTTAAAACTCACTTTCCCAGGCTTGGTTCTTTGTAGTTGACAGGATTGCGTCTCCTCCTGGTATGAAGTTGCTCCTCTTCTTGATCCTCTGGACAGGATTTAGGAGACTGCTTAGTTAAATCATGTGTTTTGTTTGTCAAATCCTGAAATGGTTTCATTTCTAAAATTAAAAAAACAAAAGGCACAGTGATCACTTTTGGAAGTACAAGCCTTGCTTAATCAGCTAAGAAAACAAACAGTAGATGCCAATATGCTGAATAACAGGAGGAGTTTTAGATATACACAAATGTTTAGTTGAGTGGAACCAGTATGATTCTAAAAACAAAAGTGATTGTGAAGTCAGATTTTTTAAAATAGCAAACATGTCATACTTACCTGCTCAGTGCAGTGGTTTTGCATAGAGCAGCCTCGATCCTCCTCTTCTTGGGTCCCCAGGCCCTTCCCTCCTGTCAAGTGCCCCCACAGCAAGCAGCTTGCTATGGGGGCAGCCAAGCAGGCTCATTCCTGAGCCGCTGTTTGTGTGTCTATTCATACATAAGATGCAGCTCGACCTTGCCCCCCCCGCTCTCTCTTCATTGGCTAACTGACTGTGATTGACAGTAGTGGGAGCCAATGGCTCTCGCTTCTGTTTCAGTCAGTCAATGAGGATGGAGAAACCTGGTACAGCTGAGGCACATGGCTGGATCGAGATAGGCTCAGGTAAGTATAAGGGGGGCTGTTGCACACAAAAGGTTTTTCATCTTCATGCATAGATACATGAAGGTAAAAAAAAACCTGAGACTTTACAACCCACTTTAAAATGCTCTTTTATTAAGGAAAATTACACTTTTCAATCCAAAAGAAGAAAAAAAAAAAAAAATCAGGATCTATTTAATAGACTCTCAAAAAACAGGACCTATTCCACCCACAATTCTCAGATACTCTAATATGCATATCTCACAGCCATAATTTCTGAATCTGCTCCGTTACCTAGGAATTTTGAGGTTTTCACACTTACCACTGCTTGTTCCAGCACCTTTTGTTGCATTCTCAATTGCACTGAATATACAATAAAAATAATCCAACAAGGAGAATTGGACCTCCTTAAATTGGCCACAGTAGCTGTGCAAACCTAGAAACTCAATTGCAGAGATCTTACCAACAGGATCTCCAAAAGAAAGGAAAATTGTCAGGTGGGTAAATTGATACTAAAAAGGTAGTTTTCTTTTAATAATATGGTATACTTATCCTGCTCTGTGCTGCTCTGTGCTATGGTTTTGCAGAAAGTAACCCTAATCCTCCTCCTCTTCTCGGGTCCCCCGCTGACACTGCTGTGCCCCCCTACACACACACACACACTCTGAGTGCCCCCATAGCAAGCCACTTGCTTTGGGGCACTTGTGCATGCTCACTCCTGAGCCCCCTCACTGGCTGTGATTAACAGAAATTTGCTCCCGTTGCTGTCTGAGTCAATGAGGGAGAGAGCCAGAAGAGATTCTGCTCTTTTGCACATTGCTTGATCAAGATTGGGATTAGGTAAGCATAAGGGGTGCTGGGGGAAGGGGAGCTGAGCATTGAAGGTTTTTTACCTTCATGCATACAATGTATGAAGACAAAAAACCTTCAGCCTTTAGAAACATGGAATTATAAAAAAGGGGGGTGGCGCTGCACTGACCGTGATATATTGTAATTTGTCTTATTAGTGTCTTATTCTCTGTGAAATCACAATACATTCTTTTATAGTGTGTGCCAAAAAACCCCCCAAAATTTTAAA